CACTGAGGTTGAAAATAGTGAAATTTACAGGATTACAGGGGGTTGCTACCCCTTTTTGTAAAAGAGCGGCAGTTCCATGTGAGGTATGGACTTCCCCTTTAAGTCAAGTTGTCCACCTTTTACAACCCCAATAAGGTAGAGAGCTGACCAAGATTAACGCACTCAAAGGTGAGATGGGCGATTCCCCAATCTTCTGCCTTGTATAGACTGGTCAGCTTCTGGAGTGACTAGAGCAGGGCTGTCGTACTGTTGTTTGTGGTCCCCTGTTGTCTCCTGGGAAGCAAGGTCCTGCTGAGGAAGGGTGCAGACATTTCGGAGGGTGATCTTGGATGGTGAGGCTGGGTCAGGGATGCACTCCCATTTGTGGGAAGCTGGCTTCACTTGGCTGTGGTAGATCCAGGGAATGTTCTCTGCTGCCACCTTAACTGAGGTGGGGGTAGATAAAACAACAACAAAAGGGCCCCTCCAGTGGGGCTTTAGGGGTTGAACATTTCATTTCTTTTCCCAAACAGCATCCCCTGGTTTATAAGGGAGTGTGGGAGTTGTCAGGCTAACGGAGAGTCTCTCTCTTACCCAGGCATTGATTTTTGAGAGAGTCCACCCAAGTGCCTGTATTCGTTGAGGTCACTCACCAATTTTTTTAAGGCCCATACTAAAGGGAGTGGACGTCCAAAAAGAATTTGTGGTCCATTTTGTGGGACTACACCTAATCTTGAGCAAGGCTATGGACAGTAACTGATCCCATAGTAGGGTCTCCTGGTATAGTTTTTCCAATTGTAATTTTAGAGTCCTGTTTATACGTTCTACTTTCTTTGAACTCTGGGGGTGGTAGGCCATGTGTAGCTTTTAAGTTATTTTTAATCTCTTAGCCATTAAGTGTGCCACCTGAGCCACAAAGGCCAGCCCATTGTTTGACCCAATAGACGAAGGTATTTAGAATCGAGGGATGATTTTCTTTAACCTGGCCACTTTTCGGGCTTTCTCGGGCTAGTGGGGAAGGCTTCCATCTACCTTGAGAAAGTGCAGACAAATACCAGCAAATAGTTACATCTTGACCCTTGTCAGATATTGTTTCTGCACACAGACGGCACCTTTTACATGCTGTCTTACTTATGCTGGAGAGCTTGGGGATATAACAGTGCTGGGCCAAGGTGGTCTCAAGAGCTCTTTGCCCTGAGTGAGTTCCTTCATGGAACTGTTGGACAAATGTGGGAGCCAGTAACTCAGGGATGGCAATGCAGCCTTCAGTAAACTTCCACCATCCATCTGGTAGAAAATTTTCTCCTTCAGTCTCAAACCAAGCCTGTTCTTGCGACCTATACCGTGGGTCCCATTCAGATAAGGGGCACAGGAACAAGGCAGCTGCCAGTGAGGCCAAGGTTTGTCCTCCTGTGAGGGCTGCTCGCTTGGGTTCTTTCTTGCCTTTTGATTTGCCTGAATAGCTGTTGTCTCCCCGCTCTGGTGCCCTCGGCAGTGCATGACCACTACTCACTGAGGGGCCCATACAGCTTTTAGTAATTTTAGAATTTTTTTGTCCACATTTAACACTTTTTTCCCGAGTTAGAGTTAGAGGTCTTGATTGGCAGTGATTGTGTTTCAATGACAGTGTGCAGAGTCACTACTGTGTATCTGGCACAACATGTGCTGTCCCAGGCAAAGCTGCTGCCATCTGTAAAATGCTCAACGTCCAGATGAATAATGGGCTGGTTGGTCAAGTCTGGCTGGCTGGAGAACACCTCATCCATAATCTCTAAACAGTCATGCTCCAGTGGGCCTGAATAATAGGGTGGCTGGGTTTAGAGTCTTAACAACCTCTAGCTGGACATGCAGGTTTTCACATAACATGTTTTGATATTTGACCATTCGGGGGTCTGTTAACCAATAATTTTTTTATATACCATGAGAGTCAAAACAGAGTGGGGAACTCGGACTGCGAGTTCTTGTCCCAAAGTAAGTTTGTCTGCTTCAGCCACCAGGACAGCAGTGGCTGCCAGAACACAGAGGCAGGGTGTCCAGCCTTGGGAGAGTGTATTAAGTTGCTTTGATAAGTAGGCCATCAGGTGGTGCCAGGAACCTAGCAGCTGGGTCAAGTCTCCTACAACTGTCCCCAGTCTTTCATGTACATACAGGAAGAAAGGCTTCATCACAACTGGCAGGCCCAGAGCAGGGGCATTTGTGAGTGCCCTCTAAATTGCTTTACAGGCCTTTTTTGTTCCTCTTCCCATACCATAGGTTCCCATTCTCCCCACTTTGTGGCTTTATAAACAGGTTTTGCCAAGACAGAGTAACTGGGGATCCAGATCTGGCAGAAACCTGCAGTTCCTAGAAACTTTTTAATCTGTACAGTGACACTTAAGGGCACGGGGACTCCTTGTGGTCCCCCACTAATATGGGTTTCTCTAGCTTTTTACATTTTTCCCTGTACTTGGAAGCTGCTGCTGCCCTGGCTACCATAACCCTACATGCTTTAGCCATGTGGGCTGACTCAGGACTGCATCCTGCCAGCAGTCAATGTAAGGAAAAATCTGGATATTTCAGGCTCCCTTATAACCACTTTTAAAAATCTATGGACTATGACCTTATCTAATGACCCCTCCAAGGACCATCCTATACCAAAAGCAGGCTAATCTATTTTACAGAAAGTCCTAAACTTGCCAGGAGTCAGCTTGACCCTGTAATCTCCATTAAATCCCCTCTTAATGTTATAGGGTTGTGTTCTTATTCTGACCTCTTCCCATTCCTCCCATTTGCCAGACATCTAGACAGAGACAAAGAGAGGAGGTAAGGGGTCCTCCTCTCCAGCACACAGGGAAAAACAAATAACACCACTTGCTTCACCTGTCTCTGGCCACTCCCCTCAAAGGGATTTAGGCATCTCTGGCTGTAGTAAGTCCATATAAGCCCCAGACCGAAGGCCCTGTTAGGGCTCACCTCAACCATATAAGTTCTCCATGGCCCATGGTCTCCATGGCCCATGGATTGGGACTCCACACTTGCTTCGTAACCAGGCTATGTCTCAGGCTCGCACTTTCACACACTCTCACACAGCACAGTACTTCTACCCTGCTCCCTGATCCTGAAAGACATGATTTCACCCCCAAAAAGGTGGTTACCATGGTGTCTTCAGGAGTTGATCAGACTCCCCTTCTGCCACCTGAGGCAGGCCTGAATTTGAACCCAGGTTCTTACCAGTCTGATGATCGGGACTCCCAGGTTGGTTCCCGAGCCTTTCCAGGTTCCTTTGTGCAACTGGAACTCACCTCCTTGGCTCACCAGGAGAGAGGATCCTTCCCCTGAATCAATGTGCTCTGGTGGCGCCTGGGAGGGGTTGCCCTCCCAGTGGGCCGGGGATGCTGAGCTGGTGACAAGGGGGTGAAAATACCAGTCTCCAAATCCTGGGGAGGCCCCCAGAGATGTTGCAGGAGGGCTCAGACAGAGACTGAGAGGGCACCAAGGCTTTCTGGAAGCAAGTTCATTAAGCAAGCCAGCAGCAACTCAGTGGACTCAAGTCCAAAGGCTGAACCCTGAGAACAAAGGGGTTCTGCTCATATACCACTTAGAGCAGATTACAGAAATTGGGGGCGGGGTACAGCTTGTCCCATATATAATCACATGTCATTTCATTGGCCGCTCTAACCTCTGGGACTAGGTGACCCTTCTCTGGTCTCCAGGTAACATTCCCCAACCCCAGTTTTCCTTTGTTTCACTGTAGCACTCATTAATCTCTCTTCCCCCTGCCACAATAGAAGAACAAATACTGCAGGATTCCACTCACAGGAGATCCCTAGAGTAGTCAGAACCACAGACACAGATGGGAGAAAGGTGGGTACCAGGGACTGGGGAGAGGAAGGGAGTTAGTTTTCTGTGAAGACTGAGCTTCAGTGTGGGAATATAAGAAGTTTCTAGAGGTGGAGGGTGGTGATGGTTGCACAGTAATTCAAATGTACTGCCACTAAACTTTATACTGAACATTTTGCTAAAATGGTACATTTTATATGGGTATATTTTACAAAACACACAGATACAGAGCCCTGAAGAGCTTTTCCAAGGTCCCCATTGCCCACAGGATGTCCCTTGCCATGGTTCCACTCTGGATTCAACATGCAGTGGGGGCCCTGACTGGAGTCTCAAAGACCCAGGCCCAGGCTGGAGTCTCACGACAATAACACCCAATGGCGAGTTTGATTACTGTCTCCATGTTACAGACGAAATGACTACATCTCAGAGAGCTTAAGTAACTTGCCTATGGCCACCAGCAAGGGGCCAGGCTGCCATTTTCCCCCAGGACACTTGGGCTCCATAGTCAAAGGTCTGTTAAGAGCTGCGACAGTGATCAAGAGCCCCTGGACCAGATCTCAGAGCACAGTGGGGACCGGCTCATTCTGTGAGATCTTACCTGAGCACACATTAGAGGCAGTACGTGAGAGCCATGTGTCTCTGTCTGTATTGGGGTGTGATCTATCCTTGAGGACCAACTCGATAGTATATACAGTACCACACAGAGCACACACAAAGCAGCTACATGCATTAGGACTGAAGGGGCACAGGCTGTGGGAATTTAATAGAGAAGTAAGGGTCTTGATGGGCCCCAGGAGCACCTGTGAGCCTGGTGGGAAGGGGAAGGCAGTGTTTGGAGCCTGCTGTGTGGAGCCAGCATGGAGTGAGACACATGGAAACTGTCACAGCACAGGGAAGCGCTCCAGGCTGCTTCAGACCCCAGCTCCAGCCATCCTGAGCACAGAAGGTGGGGCAAACAAAAACACCACCTGCTGGGCGCCAGTAGCTCACACCTGTAATCCTAGCTACTAAGGAGGCGGAGATCAGGAGGATCATGGTTCGAAGCCAGCAAATAGCTCTTATATCTAAAATATGCAACACAAAAAAGGTCTGGCAGAGTGGCTCAAGTAGTAGAGCACCTGCTTGTCTACCAAGCATGAGGCCCTGAGTTCAAACCCTAGTACCAAAAAAAAAAAAAAAAAGACACCAGGTTGCTTCCAAGAGATAAATTTATTTCTTTGTGTGTGTGGGGGAGGGAAGGAGTGACATAGTCGGTCATCAGTGCAATGCTGCCCTCCCCTCAGGGCAGGGCAGGGCAGGGCAGGTCAGTCCAGTGTTTGGGCCCTGGGAGTTGGGAGACCCAAGGAGTATCATAGGCATAGCAGCAGGAGGAGGGGAGCGAGCTCCCCTCACAGACCCAGCCCAGCCCACGCTGGGACATGGGTCCTCTGGTGAGGTCATTAGGCGTCTGCAGCTGAGCTGGGAGGCTCCTGGGGCACACAGCGCCGATGCCGGAGGATGGACTTCTCCTCCTCCTGCAGGAACAGGCCACACATGTGAGTCATCCAACATGGGACACAGAAACATTGTGTCACTGAGCACGTATCAGTCATGCCACCTAAAACAAAGGCCAGCCAGCTTGGGGCGTCTTCACATCAGCCAAAACTTGTGTGTCCAAAGCCTCCCTGCTTAAAATTAGTGTGGATATTTTGCTCTAGAAATGTCACTTTAAAAGCCACTGGGAGCCAGGCACCAGTGCCTCACACCTATAATCCTAGCTACTCAGGACGCAGAGATCAGGAGGATTTCAGTTCGAAGCCAGCCTGGGCAAACAGTTCACAAGACCCTATCTCAAAAAAACATCCATCACAAAAAAAGAAAAAAAGGCTGGTGAAGTGGCTCAAGTGATAGAACACCTGCCTAGCAAGCAGGTTCAAATCCCATGCAGCCAAAGAAAAAGAAATTAACTGGTCTTGCCCATCATGATACACTGCTTGGCATGGTGACATTAACACACTGGGATACATATGATGCCCATGACCTGATGTTACTGGCTCATCAGTCCCAAAATGTGGAGACCCTGTGTTTAAACACGTGCCCCTCAAGCCAACCAGCACCCAGCACACAGGATCTCAGACAGCCACCCCCATCACATGCAGGCCTCTCTGGGGGACCTGGGGTGTCCACTTTTACCACCTCTGAGGCAGTGCTGGGGCTGGCACCCTCGGGGGAGCCCCCTTCATCTCTTGAGCAGTCGGGCCCGGCGTCTTCCTCATACTCAGTCAGGCAGTCTGATTCTTCCCCTGAAATGAGAAGCGTGGCACAGGGCAAAGGGATGTGGGCTGGTCTTATGTCTCCAGCCACACCCCACCACCTACAGGCCCAGCCACCCAACTCCCAGGGGTCTCCTGGGCCCTCACCATCAGCACAGCCATCAGACACATAGCTGGTGGGAGGCTCAATCCGGGACACAATTTCCGCCAAGTCGGTGAAGCCAGAGCTTGGGAACGCAAGGATCTGTGGGGTGATGGTGGTGAGGGTGGGGGCCGGGAGTCCACAGGATCTTTGGGGTTCAGGTGATCCTGAGGGCCTAAGGCAGCCCTCAGTAAAACCCAGGGATGTATCAGGTCATCCGAGGTTTGGGGAGAACCAGAGGGCTTGGGGTCCTGGGATCAGGTGGCCCACTAGGGGAGCATCATAGGCTTACATCTGCACGTCGGCTCTCGTTAAGGTCTGCAGACCGCCGGTCTGTGAGCATTTTCTCAATGACGTCGCCACGGGTCCAGCCTCCAAACACAGCCTTCCCATGCTGGTAGCCCACATCCTGCAGAAAGCGAGGGGGCTGGGACCATGCTGGATGCCATCCCTCCCTGCCCCCATGCATCCTGTCGCTAAAGAACTTTATGCCCTGGGGGAGAAGGCATTTGAGATTAAATCTATCTTAGAGTCAGCCGTATGCAGCACACTTGCCCACACAGCTTCCATCTGCACCCCTGCCAGACATTATCTATCAATCTCTCCACATCCTTCCCCACTCAGCCCCACGCAATGGACCAGGGACCAAAGGACACAGATGGTGGTGTACAAGATGATTTTCAAGGTCTGCAAACATGCAGAACATCTGTGGATACTGTCATTTTCCACATCCACAGCAGACATCTCTAGTCCATCATGGCATGACTTCCCAGAGCTGGTAGAAAGGACACCATTTTTACTTGAGGCCTCAGAAGCTACTGATCAATTTCAGTCGGCCTGGGCTATCACACATTTTGTAGGGTCAGTGGCACGCAACACATACCACTACATTCCCAGGCCTGTGGCAGACATTACTAATCAACTGCTGTTCTCATCCCCACCCATGCAGAAATGGCATCAGAAATCACCACAGTGCTTCAGGCAGTGCAGCTGGCACATAGCAAACTTAGCTCATACAAGAGCACATGAGGCCACACCCCAGCCATACCTAGTGCAGCCATCACCAATCACCGAGCATCTCCCACAGGTTCCAGGTGGAGCCCTACAGTCCTTCCCCCCGACACTGCTCTGGGCTTGATGTAGTAAACTTCCACCAGCCCACCAGGCTGGCACCACATCACCTCACCCACTCACATAGATCTGGTCAAACTTCCCGAAGTCCATGGTCTTGAAGCAGTCGATGGGCGGGCGCAGGTACTCGCAGTAGGAGCTGGACTTGACAACCTCGAGCTGCCGCACGCAGGACACATAAGCCAGGCGGGACTGGATCTCAGCCATGTCTGGGACCTTCACCTTGTCAGCCCAGGGGTTTAGCCTCTTCCACAGCAGCCACCAGCCAGACAGGCTGTCCCCATAGGTACTGAGGTCTGTCTCATCCTGGCTCCCCACGTCAATGGCGATGACTGTTTTGGCACCCATGCTGCGGGCGATGTCCGCTGTGGGGCCAGGGGGTCAGCAGGCTGCTCCCAACAGGGCCCAGGACAGGGATGTTCAACCCAGTCCCACAAATGCCATCCCATGATGGTCACACACGAGTCATGCAAGTGACATGCTGTTATGCAAATGGCATGAAAGTTGATGCAAATGAAGCCAAGGGAAGAGGGCTGGGTGATGGCCCAGTGAGAATGGTGATGTGTCCGTAGGCCTATGATCGCATGTCTGTGTACCCCAGAGAGGGTCCCCAAATAGGTCTGGGGGCACAAAGACAGCGCCCAGGCCCAGCCCAAGTATACATCTGAGTCTCCATTTGACTTTACACACACATCCCTGTAAGCTTGTTTCTGGGTACAGATGTTATGTGTTATGTGTCTTTGTGTGCATGCTTGTGTCTTCACTTACATGTCTGTGTATACACACCTCTGGTGGTGTGAACTTTGGAGGGAGTTTTTTGGTGGTATTGGGGTTTGAACTCAGGGCTTTGTGCTTCCTAGGCAGGCATTCTACCTCTTGAGCCACGTCATCCTTTCTGCTCTGTTATTGTGGAAATAGGGTCTCGCTTTTTGTCAAGGCTAGCCTGGACCTAAATCCTCCTACTGTAAGCTTCCCCAGCATACCTAAGATGACGGGCATGCATCACTGCACTCAGCTTTTTTCCACTGACATGGAGTCTCATGAAATTTTTTGCCTGGGCTGGCCTGGAATCTTGATCCTTCCAATTTTAGCTTCCGATGACAAATGTGCACCAATGCACTTGGCTAGGGTGTGAACTTTTTAAAGTTGCATACCTGCCTACCTCTCCTCTGCACTTGTAAAATTAGTGGGCACGAAAGAATGCCTAACTTGGTCACAAAGTTGTCACATTCTATGAGTGCATGTACACACGCACATGCTGAACAGAGCGTGACAAGTGTGAATACCTTGGCATGTGTGGACAAATGCCATTTCACCCATGCACGTGTCTGTGCAAGTTTTTTTGTGTGCATACATGTGCATGTGCTCAACTTACCTAAAATGTGAGCACCTGAGAACACGTGCGGATGTACCAGGTATACATGCATAAAAGTGTCCCTGAAGTATGTGCATGCATTTGTGCACAGATCTGTATTCCTCTTGTGAGCATCCACTTGGGTCTGATGCAGCACACGGATACATGAATGTACTTTTCAGATGTCCACAGCCACTCCCCTTTATCTGTTGTGCACATGTGCATGCATGTGCATCTGTACCCCTGAACAGGTTGCGTGTGCATGCTCCCCTAAGTGTGTTCCTGCCGGCTCAAGTTTGTGTGTGAGCATGGCAGTGTGTGTGTGCAGACAGCCACTTGCCTGGCAGGTTGTTGATGTAGCCACCATCCATGAGCAGGTGCCCGTCCTTTGGGTCGCACAGCGGGGGCAGGTAGCCTGATAGCGTCATGCTGGCACGCACATACCGCCACAGAGAGCCTGCCCGGTGGGACACACAGACACAGACACGCACAGACATGCTTAGACATGATTGAAGGCTCGGCTAGCCCGTGGCCTTGCTGACCTGGCACATTGTTAACATAGCACCCATCCACCAGCATGTGCCCATCCTTGGGGTCACAGAGTGGGGGCAGGTAGGGATAGTAAGAGGCACTGGCCTTCACATAACGCCACATACAGCCTGTGGGGATGGCGGGAGGGAGTGAGATGCCTGAGGAGCCTCCCACCTCCCTGCCTCTGAGGACAGACATACCTGGGACCTGTGGGGTATTGGTGGGTGATGGTTAGTGTTTGGCAGCTGGGCCACAGTGGACAGTCACTTGTGTTAACAATGTCCCAGACATTCAGCTGCCCTCCCCTACACCCACCCCCATGTGGCCACAACAGTGTAGTAGGGCCAGACAGAATGGCACCCACCATCTTTGTGGACACGCATGGCTGAGGCGGTGATGTCTGTGGTCACGTTGAAGTAAGGCAGCCACAGGTCCTATGGAGACAAGGACCAAGGTAGGGGAGGGCAGGGAACTCCTGTAGAAAGGGGAAAGCAGGGTGGGGTGTGGGTGGGCATACCTCAATCTGCTTATCTTGGAAGACACGGTGGATGCTGCGGTTAAAGGCTGAACCCGTGAACATGGAGGTGACAGGGTATGTGAGATCCAACACGGGTTCCATTACAGAAGTCATGCTCTAGGGGTAAGAGGGCCAGCTGGGGTCAAATGGAACTCACTCAGAGTCACAGAGGGGTCATCCAGGAGCAGACAGAGGATGAGTGGTCACTGAGGGTCTTGATTGCTCTAGCTAGGGGCGGGGAACGAGGGTCACTAGCTGGGAAGTCAGAGAGGGGCCATCCAAGATCCAGAGATAGTTCTATAGGAGTCCTGGCAGGGTCTGGACTGAGCCTAGAAACCTCATTCCCACTCCCCAAGCAGGTCTCCTGACACTTCTAGGATAACTGAGACCCGTATCTCCCCAGCACACACCTTGGCCCATTCGCGAGCCCGCTGCTTAGTGCGACTGGCGCTGCGCTCCTCCGCATACAGAGCCCCAATAAAGGAACCAATGGATGTGCCGCCCACGAGATCGACTGGCACTCCCGCCTCCTCTAATGCCTTCAGCACCCCGATATGTGAGCAGCCCCTGCAGGATGGAAGCAGCCCAGTAACAAGATGGGGACTTGCTAGGTCCCACCCCTGGGAGCTCACTCCCTCCTCCTCCCTCCCCCACAGCCAAGGAATAGCCTCCACTATTGGGGTCAGCCCTAGAAAGCTCCACCCCTCAGGCACCCTGGCCCCGCCCCACATGATGTCCCTGAGAACAAGCCCCACCTCTGGATCTAGCCCCGCCCCTCACCTGGCCCCACCCCCGCCTAGCACCAGGGCAATAGTGTTTCCCGTGAGCACCCGGGCCAAGCGGGAGAAGTCGCTGTGCCGATCTGCTCGTCTGGAGAAAACCTTCTCATAGAGCTCATGCTGGGATGGGGAAGAGAACAGTGACCCATTAGGATGGGGGCGTTGGGAACTAGCAGATACCCCAACCACATACTGACTTTCGCAGTCCCCTCCCCCTTTTCAAGCCCCACCCTCAGAAGGTGGGGACGTCCATCCCAGCACCCTTCTCCACACCCTTTTGGGCCTCACCAGCTTGGCGGGGCTGCGGCGAGAAAAGAGGCGGCGAGGGCAGCGCAGATGCAGGTGTCCTGAGCACCAGCTGCGCATGTTGAGCCACTCCACTGTGCGCGTGGGACCCGGGCCTTCCTCACGGTGCAGGAGGACCAGCTGCTTGAGGGCGCGCACGGCTGTGTTCTCCAGCATCTGCTCCAGCTGGGCGAGAGGGACAGCAGAGGTCTGGCCAAGTTTGGGAACCTGGTGGCCTCACAATGGGGATGCATGTGACCAGATGCAGGCAAGGGAGGGCAGGAGATGAGGACACTGGGAGGTGGGGTCACTGTGCATGATCTCCGGACCTGGCCAAGAGTGGGCTCCTGATCACCTAGGCCCACAATGAGGATGCAGTCAGCCTGGCGCAGGCAGCGCACGGTCCAGGGCGTCAGTGACGTATCTGTTTGGTACAGCACTATGCGGTGCGCATCCTCCTGCTGGGCTAGCCACCCTGACAGCCGGAACTCCTGGATGCTGCGGTGGGATGCGGGCACATTATCCTAGGACTAGTCTGGAGTCATGCAGCCCCCAAAGACCACATGGTTCCATTTTTGGGAGAAACCCAGACACCCAGCCCACCACAATGGAAGTTCATACCCTAAAGGAGGGATTTGCCCCACTGTCACCAGCAGACCCACGGGGGGTGGGGGAGATCTTGATTCCAAAACTAGCCTTTGAACTCAATCTCAAAGAATCTGAGGCTCCCTTGCCCTTCCCTGGTCTCCTCTGAAGTCCCCCACACACCTATCCAGTGCTGAGGCCCCCAGGCGTGCCCGGATGATGTCACTGTTGAGGAGGAGCGTGGGGCCTAGGGGTAGGTGAGGAAGAGAGGTTAGGACCAAGATCAACAGGGCTGGGGGCCTCTTCAAGAACAGAACACCTATCACCCATCTCTGAGGTCTGTGACCCTATTCCACCCCCCTCCCACTCATCCACCCAGGCGTGTCCACCCACGTGTCCAGTGAGCAGGGTCACTGCCTGCTCACATCCATGACCCTTCCCCCCACTGACCTATGGCTTGCAGAGCGTGCTGCAGCTCCAGCGTGAAGGCCATCATGGGCACCTCAGCACACACTGGCAGGACTGCCACCGTGGCCAGGTTGCTGGCTGGGTTGGTGAGTTCCGAGTGTGGAAGGACACCCAGCCCTGAGCCTGTTGAGACCCCAGTGGATAAGTTACTGTGCATCTGTGTGGCTGGAGAAGTGGACCTCCTTCCCCCTCTTCCACCTTCTCCATCCCTTCTCCTGTCCCCCAGCCCAGATCTCCCCACCCCACCCCGCTACTCCAAGTTTTGACACTATCAGGCTGATGGCCGTGGCTGCAGTCCTGGGCCCCCATCCCCATGCACTGTCTCCTCTCATTAAAACTTAGCCATCCAACCTCCTCTCCTGGTCCTAATCTCAGGGGAACCCATTATGTAAGTCTACGACCATTCCGATTCACTGTGCCTGTGTAGAGCCACTGGTAACTACAACCCACTCTGACCTGGATTGTATCCCAACACAAAACTAGACAAGAATAAATATACTTTTGACCCATTTATTGCTCCCCAGGTTCTCTGCTAACAGTCTAGACCAAATCATCAGCCCCCATCTCTTGCTGGTCAGATTCCCCCTCCCCTACAACCTTAATAAGTTCAAATGCCTTTCCAAGGACCTTTGCCCCTGCATGACTTGCTCCTACCCCCATCTCTCCCTTTCAATCAATTTCCTCCTAGCAGTGCTTCAGAACCACCAAACTCTGTGCACACCTTCCTAGCTCTTCCTCACATCTAGTCCCTCCTCTCCTATAAAGTCTCTTCTCATTGTCCTCAGAAAAGCCTCCCCCATTCAATCCCTCTGCTAGACACAAGGCAAAACAACTATTTTGTCTTCTTACTGTACTTATCAGTTCCTGACACTGTCTCTCTGTGTTTTGTTAAAGTTAGGTCTTTCCTGTCACCATGATCCCTGCCCCATGGGAAGGGGGAGGTCCATGTGTCTGTGGTAGGAGCCCTGGGGGGAATTGGGTCATCGACTGTGGGGCCCACATTTCAGCACACTTTGAAATGTGGATTACCCTAAACTCTGGTTTATCTGAGATGGAAACCATATTTCCTAGCATGCAGGTAACTTCAGAAGCCACTTCCTAATGTGTCTTGAGCTCGATATGCCACCAATGGACACCATATGCTATCATATTCTGATCTAAGACTCCTTTCCTAGTATGGTTCAGGATTTGAACTCTATTCTGTAGCAAGTCCTGAACTCAGGAATCAACTTCCCTGCTTAAGATTCCAGCTGCCAGTAAGACCGACATTTTACAGTCCACTAACAAGTGTCCCTGGCACAGAAATCCAAACTCTATCCCCCAGCATGCACCTCGGATCCCAAGAACTCCGGATCCTATTTCTGGCCTCAATCCAGTCACCAGCAAGATTTACAGCTGAACTCTATTTCCCAGCATACCCTTGGATAGGGCTTCCCCTCCCAGCTTGCTCTGAGTGCTGGACTATATCCCCCAGCATGCCTTGGGCAGACCAGCTCTCACCTGGGAAGGGTCCTTGCAGCTGCTGCAAATTCCCTAGAATTTTCTGGCTCAGTAAATGGATGAGGCGTGTCACGACCTGGGGGGTGTGAAGACCAGCTGTCTAATGAGATGGAAGAGCAACTGTGCAGGTCCCACTTTCCCCTCCTCCCCTGAAGGCGCCTGGGGTCCCTGTCATCTGGGCCTGCCCCTAAGAGCCCCGCCCCACTCAGGCGGCTCCACCCACTGAGGCTCCGCCCCTGCTCATATCTGTCCCGCCCACATGGAGATGCACCTGTGGGTACCGACGTTTGATGTGACCCAAGGTGCCCTCAGGGAGCTTGGCCAGCTCTGTATCACGCACCGCGTGCACCGTGGTGGCTCGAGGCTGCCGGGTCAGTGCCTCCACCTGTGGGATACCATACATGAGAAAGGCTGCTTGGACCAGGGAGCTCCAAAAAGTGAAGGGGGAAAAGCCAAACATGGATGCAAAGGAGGGGGCCTTACCACCCCAGCCAGAGGGTCCCCCAAGATGGGGATGAATGCACCAAACCTCACCGGGCTGTCCATCAGGCTGGGATAGGGAGAGGACAAGGACTCATGAAGGGCCGGGGTGTTCTCTTCTGGTGAGGGTTTGAATGGACACTAAGGGTGGAGTTAGACCCGACTCTTCACTCCCCGAGGCTGCCCCTTACCCATGGAGAGGAGCTGGGGAAATGGACCAGGTCGGAGCAGAGACGGGGGTGCATTCACCCCCATCAGATTATTTGGATGCTAGGGATGGGGGCTGGACTGGGAGAGGTCAGAAGTTAGAAGGTGCGGCATCCTTACCACACCAATGAGATCCCCGCGGCCATACTCCCCCACCAGCTCTTTCTTGCCGCTGCCACGCTGGATGACGCTGCGCAGCCGCCCGTTGAGCACAATGTAGGTGCAGTCGGAGCGGTCGCCCTGCCTGGGGTAGAGGGTGGTCAGGCAAGGTCAGCGCCTTGTCCTCAGGAGGCCTGAGCAGAGAGGTGGGGGCGGGGCTGCACCTGTACAGCGCGCGTCCCGCTTCCACTGCCGTCCAGTCGATGGCGAAGTCCATTTGGCGCACAAAGGGTGACATCCTAGCGGCCACTGTGTGCGCCGCGCTCAGCACCACACTGGGCTGTGCACGCATGATCCTGCGGGTGAAGAGGGGATGTCTGGCTGGGACCTTCTGGAATACCACGGAAGGAGTGGAGAAAGTGGGTGATAGCTGGGGGGGAGGGGTTGAAACAGGAAGGGCTCAAAATGGCCCATGGAGGGCGTTGGGAGGCCTGAATCTGGGGTTTCTTTCGGCCCCTGTAGGAGTGAGGTAGAGGGATGAGGCATTGGTCTCTCCCATGGCAAAGCAGCTTTGGGCAGGAGTCCTCTGGGCACCACGCCCACCCCACCCTAGGTGTAGTCATACTCATAGAAATCCGACTTGGAGATACGAAGGAAGGTGCAGTCGCGCTGGGCACGCAGTGTAAAGATGAGGGGCTCGCCTGTGAGCACCGCCAGCTGTCCCACCAGCTCCCCCGGCTGGGCCACGAACAGACACACGTCCTCCGCCTTGTCAATCATGCGTTGGTACACGTGCAAACAGCCCCAGAGCACGAAGTGCAGACTCACGTCCTGTGAGGACAGGGTTAGAGGAGCAGAGCCAAGCACAGCACCCCCTCCCCAAACTCAGGTCAGTGCATCCCACAGGGAAAGATTAAAGAAGAAAAAGTAAGGCTTGGTATAGCAGCTCATGCCAGTAATCCCAGCTATGGGGAGGGGAGCAAAAATCAGGAAGATCAAGGTTCCAGGTCAACCCAGGGGAAAAAGTTAGTGAGACCCTATCTCAACAAACAATCTAGGTGTAGGTGTTGTACATTTATAATCCCAGCTACAGAAAAAGGTAGGAGGATCATGATCTGAGGCTGGCTCTGGCAAAAAGCATGAGACCTTATCTAAAAAATAATAGAAAGCTAAAAGGGATGGGGGGGGTGTAGCTCAAGCAATAGAACACTTGGCCTAGCAAGAATAAAGCCTTGAGTTCAAATCTCAGTGTCACAAAAAAAAGAGGAATAAAGACTTCTGATAAAATATACAATCTTTCCTTGGTACCACAAAGGATTGGTTCCAGGATGCTAAGTCCTCTAATCAAAATGGCATGTAATTGCATATAACCTGCACAAAACTCCTGTACAATTTACACCGTTTCTAAATTTAAATATCATATAAATAGCTGCTTTACTGCATTAGGGAATTCTGACAGGAAACACAACAAAAACACCTATACATGCTCAATTAGACCTAATGACATTTTCAATCATAGGCCTAACTACAGTTTCAGTCCTTGGTGTTGAGTCCTCCAATGCAGAACCTGCAACAGGATGGCTGCAAGTGCACATCCACTTGAGTCAGCACCCAGGACAGATATTGTTAATGGCTCACCAAACTCTTAGCCCAGATTAAGGCACACAAATTCTTTTCAAAATAGCTAGCAGGAGGGTGAAAAACTACACAGGCCTGGATTTTTTGATAGGAAGACTATCAAAAAAACACAACTACACAGGGACGCAGAGGTGTAACTTACTGGTAGAGTGCTTGCCTAGCCTGTAGAGCTCGATCCCCAACAGTGTCTGCCTATGGGCTGGGCCAAGCTTAAATGTGCTTTGCTTCTGCCAGGCAACTCAATAGCCACATGGAAAAGCAGGAAGCTGAGCCCTTACCTTACACTATAGCAAAACAGATTAAAGAGCCCGGTGCCGGTAGCTCACTCCTGTAATCCTAGCTATTCAGGAGGCAGTGAACAGGAGGATCTTGGTTCAAAGCCAGCTCAGGCCAATAGTTCCAGAGACTCTAGCTCAAAAATACCCAACACAAAAAAGGGCTGGCAGAGTGGCCTCATGCCTAGCAAGCGTGAGGCCCTGACTTCAAACCCAAGTGCCACCAAAAAAAACAAAAAACAAAAAAATCAAAGATACAAATGTAAGAGCTAAAACTACAGAATTCTTAAAAGAAAATACAGGAGTGAATGTTTGTGACGTTCAATCTGGCAATGGATTAAGAATTCTTGTGCTTCAGCCAGGTGCCAGTGGCTCACACCAATCCTAGCTACTCAAGAGGCAAAGATCAGGAGGATCACGGTTCAAAGCAGCCCAGGGGAAATAGTATCCAACACAACAAAAGGGCTGGTGGAATGGCTCAAGTGGTAGAGAACCTGCCTATCAAACAAGAGGCCCTATTCAAACTCCAGTACCACGGAAAAAAAAAAACCAACATTAACTATTGTGCTTCAAATCACCCTAACAAGGACAACATACAGAATGGGAGAAAACATTTGCGAATCATCTATCTGATAAGCATCCAATATGCACATAACATGGAGAATTTCTACAACACAGCCAAGCATGGTAAATTGAAACTATAATCCTAGCTACTTGGGAAGCAGACCTCAGGAGTGAGGTTCAAATAGACTCCCACCCCCACCCCCATCTTAACCAATGGCTGGGCATGTGCCTATCAACCCAGCTACGTGGGAAGTATATATAGGAGGATCACAATCCAGGAAAGCAAATAACTTTCTCTCACTCTTCTTTCTTTCTTTCTTCCTTTCCCTTCCTTTTTTCTTTCTCTTTCCCTCCTTCCCTTCTTTGCTGCCTCCCTCCCTTCCTTTCTTTTGCAGTGCTAGAGATCAAATACAGGGCCTCACACATGCTAGTCAAGAATTAACCACAGGACATTTGAACAACCAGTTCTCTGCTTGGAATGACTTCTTCCAGTTACACCCAGTTAATTGCTTCCCTTGCTTTTTGGCTGGAGGTCACATCCTTAGAGGCACCACCCTGTTTAAGCCAGACTTTGTAGTGCCAAGAATCTCCTTTGTCTCACTAAGCCCTTCTCATTTTACAAGGATTTAGGTAATCTTTTGAGTCATGCACGTCAGAGCTGCAGCATCTTCCCAGAGGCAGGGACTATGCCGGTTTTTCTTGCCTCTGATCCAGCCGGCAGCACAGGGTCTGGGACGTGGCAAACGCTCAGTAAACTGATTTTTCTCTCTTCCCTGGTTAGCCTGACCAGCTAGACACATCTTTGTTCCACCCCTTCGTAACTGAGGAACTGAAACTGCCCGAAATGGAAAGATTCTTCCCTATCCACCACGCCAACCTGTCTGGCATCCAACAAAACACCACCAAAACACTTTGTGGGGAGAAAGGAGTTGGAAGGTGACATACATACAAACGTACATGCTGGAGCTTTTTTTATAGCAGCATGAGGTTTGAACTCAGGGCTTCGCACTTGCTAGGCAGGCATTCTTACCACTTGAGCCACACCACCAGACCAGAGATCCCTGTTTTTAACACAGGTTAACCATCCCTTATCCAAATGCTGAAGACCAGAAGTGTTTAATATATTGGATGTTTTCTGGATTTTGGAGTATTTGCATACATATGATGAGATATCTTGGAGAGGCGACCCAAGTCTAAACACAAGTCTCATTTATGTCTTACAGGCTGAAAGTAATTTTATACACTGTTTTTAGTGTTTCCGCATTTTGACTGCAAACCAGCCCATGAGGTCAGGTGTGGAATTTTCCACTTGTGGCATCACGTCAGTGTTCAAAAAGTTTCAGACTTCAGTGTTCACAAAGTTTCAGAGCACTCTGGATTTTAGACTTTCCCATCAGGGAGACTGAGCCTGTACAGATGTTCCACAAAACCCACCTGGGAAGATGTCTGTGTGAAGCATGGTTTCTATTTTGTTTGTTTGAGACAGCATCTCACGACGTAGGCCAGGCTGGCCTCAAATTCACTATCCACCCACCTCTGCTTCCTGAGTGCTGGGATTACAGGCATGTACCACTTTACAGGGCAGACAGCGCAGTTTCTCTGTGTTGGCCCTGTATAATTCCTTGCACTGCCCTGCACATTTGGGCAAACCTGCTCCACCTGCTTGGTGCCAGAAGTACCCTTCCATGTCATAACAATCAAAACTGGCGAGGCATTGCCAGATGTCCCAGGGAAGACCCTGAGATGCTTTGAGGACTTAAGAACAGCCTGGCCCACTGGCAGGCCAGGCCAGGGAGGGGTTCAGCTCAAGTCTTCCAGACAAGCAGGGCCCAAGTGTCCCCACAGGAGCCCTGGTGTGACCACACTTCCTCAGCTCATGCCCCAAGGACCTAGCATAGCTGGCACAGGCCTTGCTGGCCTTCCTCTCTATAAAGGAGCCCAGCCCTGTGAGGAGCTCAGAGAGACAACACCAGAGCATGTGACAGCACCACAGACAGCCAACAGGCAAGATGTTCACTCACTCACTCACTGCTCTGGCTCAGGCCTCCCTCACCCAGGGTCTTAGCAGTTCTGTCTTGTCACTGCCTTGAACTGTCACCCAGCGCCCTCTGCACTGTGATTGCTACCAAACTTTCTCTCCTGGGCTTGTCACCTTTGCAAACCTTATGCATCTCCAGACTGTGTATTTTTACTTATTACCTTCATTCCACAGACTGAGGAAGTGGAGAACTTTCTAGATCCTTTGCCAAAGGTCACACAGGAAGTTGGGACAGAGTCTAGATTTCAACTCTGTCCACTCACTATAGAACCCTCCTCCTCCATGCCTGCTGACTGTGAGATCATGGCCAGGTGTTTCCCCTCAGTGGGCCTCAGTTTCCCCATATGGAGAAAGGACACTTTCTCATACCTCCTGGGTGCTGCCAGGAGGCTCTGAAGCCCCACCCTGGGGCTGGTTCATGGTCTCTGGGTCCTGACTGCAATTCCTACCCATTATTTAGCACCTATCAAAGCATGTGCCAGGAGTGCAGGCAGACAGAACATCACAATGTATTATAAGATGGAAAAGTCAGAAAATAGAGGCTACGAAAAGAGCCAGGCCAGGAAGAAGAGGTGTAGGAATTGGGGCCAAGGAGAAAAAAGGGGGTAGAGGTAAAGAATGGCTAGGTCCAGGGTAGGGGGTAAAGGTCATAAGATCCTCAGGTTAGAGGTTGGAAATGATAGGATGAGAGATCTACTCCACAGAGGAAAAGTGTCAGTCATCATGTCAGAGGTCAGGAGTCAGAAATCAGAGGAAGCTGGTTCAGGTTTCATGGTGCTAGAGGTCAAGGGTCAGCCTTACCTGGTCCCCCTGGCGGGCGATGATGGTGCCAGCTTTGGCATGATGCAGCAAGACTCTGCTGTTGAGGAGGGAGGGATCCTAGGAAGGGAGGGCGTGGCTGACATGGGGCCAGCCAGGCCTCCTGCCCTCCACCCCACCATCCCCAGAGCCACCCTCAGCTGCTCACCTCAATCCGCATCAGCTTGGCTAACTCTCGTTTTGCTGCCTCAAAGATGCTGCTGGTCTGGCGGTCCTGGTAGGGCCCAAAGGGGCAGCCACCAGCAGCCGTCTCATCTTCACAGTAGCTGTACTCACAGGCACCAGCCGGCTGCTCCCGGGGCTCCTGAGTGGGGGTCTGCATGGAGCAGGGCCTGTGATCTACTGCTGTGCCCTCCAACCACCCTCCTCAGTGGAGGCCATCACTAGCCAGGCCTGATCCAGGGCAGGGTCATAGGAGGGGACTGTGGTGGGGTTGGGAGAGGGCAGGGCCTTACCCGAGCAGGGGCTGCCTGGGGCCCACCAGAGGCCTCTTCTTGCAGGGACACAGAGATCCGACCACGCTCATATGCCATGTCGAAGTCGGAGCGGGGGCCACCCTGCAAGCCTGCAAGTGGAGAGACGATAAAAATTAAAATGGAGCTGGCATACAGTCAGTGGTAGAGCATTTGCCTAGCATGTGTGAGGCCCTAGGTTCCATCCTTGGCCCCCAAAATAAGTAAATAAAAAGACAGTGACCACAGCTGAGTCTAAGACCAAGCCTAACTCCACACCCAGTGCCACAACCACAGCAGACATGACAAATTAATGACCACTCTCACCTTCTACATCCATCTTACCACAGTTGGTCCCACCAAATTGTGTGTGGTACCGCGGAAGTACCATCAGCATTGCCACTTTGCAGGTGAAAGAAATCAAGACTGACAGGCAACAGGGTCTGGATTCAAATCTCAAGCTGGTGGCCCTCTCCTTATACACAGCCCCCACGCTCCAAACCTGAGATGTCCACTGGCATGGAGATGCAGCGACTCAGCAGAGGGGCCGAGGGGGTTTCCAGAGATGTGGGCTTCACAGGGTCCCCTGGAGGGTCCAGAACTAGGATTAGGGGTGAGGAGCTTAGGGAGCCTGAGGAGGAGGTCTGCTTGGAGTCCTTGGAACCAAGGGACTAGGAAAAATAATTCCCACAGGTGCTTGGGGCTGAGGACAGGGACACCTGGGGACCAGGCAGGAGGTTTGGGGGGATGGGTGGGGGTCACCTTAGGTACCTGAAGGTCCAGGCAGTGGGGCTCCAGTGGGGTCTGGTGGCCGACCTGGGGTCTCCCTGGGCTCCTCAGTAGCTGAGGTGCTGGCCACCCGCTTGGAGCCACGCACGGGGCTGGTGCGGGTTGGTAGGCCCGGGCTGGGGAACAGGCGTAGGGGCTGAATCTCCTAGGAAAGTTAAGAGAGCAGCTTGTAGCATGTCCCGGGGGGCCTAGCCTTCCTCCCATCTCTGCCCATGCTCACTCTCCAACTCACATGGCTGAAAAGCTCATTGGTCAGACCCAGGTAGTTGTGAAGAGCCAGGAAAGTGACTCGCTGCAGCCGTACCATGATGATCTGCAGGGATGAGGGGTGTAGCCAGCAGAAGGGGAGGAGGCAGGGTCAGGGTATAGCCACAGGGTGTGGGGGAGGTCAGGGTGGGGCGGGGCTGAATGGGCGTGGCCAGAGCAGAGGCAGGGGACACCCAGAGGAGGCAGTTAAGGGGCGGAGGCAGTTAGGGGACACAGTCAGCAGCCCCTGAGGTCTGGCTGCTCTGGGGCGATAACCACAGGATAAGAACCGCAGCTCCTAGCACCTGCTGGCTGCTGAACTCTGGCCCCCGGGAGCCTGGGAGACAAGGGTGGGGTGCGGCTCCAGGTGGAAAAAGGGAGGTAAAAGTCCACTTACCTGTACCACCCGCACCAAGCTCTCTGGGTACTTGGTGAAGACAGCAGAGAAGGCCTCCACTGGAAGCCGCAGCACTGTGGAGTCACGCGCTGCCCGGGCAGACACAGTCCGCTGGGGATGCTGGTGACCCTGGGGAAGGGGCAGGCATGAAGACAGACAAGACCAAGGGCTGTGGGCCCCCTCACTGCTTCCCCAAACCTTCCCCAGAATGCTTTAGGGACCACCAGCAGCATCAGGGGCCAATCAGCAATGGGGCCCCAGGGTGTCCTCATCCCCCATCCTCCTGCCCCATAGACTGGTCACTAACAGTGATGACATCCAGGATGCTCAGAAGGCTGTTGACGCTGTCCCCAGGAACCACTTCCTTCACAACACACTCCTTTCCATCCTGAAACACAGGGGCCACTGACGGGTGCTGGCCTCTCATTTCGACCAGCATCCCGCCCAATGGCCATGCCACTGGTCCATACTTTCACCCACCCTAATGAACCCATCAAACCTGACCAGCGGCTGTTTCTTGCACTTCACTCAAGTTTTAGCCACTGGCCACCTGTACAGAACACCCATCCCCCTGACACTATGCCTGATGCTGGGGACTACCCTCAGTCTGCTCCCTGAGGTGGCCCCAATGGCCAACTCACAGGCCCAGGCAGGCAAAGCTCCAGGAGCCCATCCTGAACCACATAGATGCTGGCATCTGGTTGGCCCGGCCGGAAGACATAGTCACCCTGGCCCAGGCGCTGGAAGACCATGTGCCGGCACAGCTCCAGGAAAAGCGGCTTCTCGAAGTGGCCCAGCACCCTGTTGGATGGGTGGTAGAGGAGGGATGCAGGAGGTCAAGGAACCCTCCTGCTCTGCAGGACGCCCCCCCCCATACTGCCCACGCCCCCAACACTGACCGGACATTCTTGAGCATGTACAGCACCTCGGAGGGCAGGTGGGAGTTGGCCAGGTCACCCTCTGTCAGGTCAGCCTCCAGCACCGCAGGTGGGGGCTCCTTTCGCTGTAGTGTTGGGGTCTCCTTCTGGATTCGCAAGATCCTAGTGGGATGAGGGGCGAGGGGAGGACAGAGAAAGGGCTCAGGGAGACCTAAGACTCTCATTCACCTTTCCCTGGTTCACATGGAGCAAACTCTGTCTTACTGTGTAAATCTGGCCCTCTATTTTTATAAATAAAGTTTTACTGACACATGGCCATGTTCACTCATTAACAAATCATTTAAGGCAGCTTTCATGCTATAACCACAGAGTTGAAAAGTTAGGACAGAAACTGTATGTGGGGTACAAGCCTAAAATATTCACTACCAGGTCCTCTACAGAATAAATTTATGACCCTTGTGATGGCTAATTCTGATTGTCAATTTGACTGGATTAAGAAATATCTAGAAGATTAATAAAGCACATTTGTTTTTCTCTTTTTTTTTTTTGGTGGCACTGGAGTTTGAACTCAGGGCCTCATGCTTGCTGGGCAGGCGCTTGTACTGCTGGAGCCATTCTGCCAGCCCCAATAATGCACATCTCTGCGTATGTCTGTGCTAGTATTTTCAGAGATGATCAGATCATGAGGGGTCTCAACTAATGAATGGATAAGCCCCCTGATAGATTCATAATATGATAGCAATTTTGAGAGGTGGTGAAAAGTAAGAGGTGAGCTGAGATGAAGGCAGTAGATCACTGGGGCATGTCCTTGGGAGTGATAGCTGTCCAGGCCTCTTTCTATATTCCTCTCTCTGCTTCTGGCCTGCCCTGGAATGAACTGCTCCACTCCACCATGATGGAGTGACACCTCTGAAACCATGAAGCACAATAAATCCTTTCCTCCTTTAAGTTGTGTCTGTCAGGACCCTGGTCACAGTGATTATAAAAGCTAACTAATCCAAGTCCTGAGATTGTCCCTGTACCAGTCATACACCCCTGGGACAGACCTTCTAGTTTTAATGGCAGACCTCTGACATCAATTCCAAGATAAGGGCAGGTCCCAAAAGAAGTACTTCTGTTGTCACAGACTAGCTTCCTGAGATAGCCTTCCTAATAAAGGCATGACTCTGAGGTTGCTCCAGTTATATGAGAAGACCTCTATATATACCCTCTCTGTTCTTTGTAAAGACCCTTGAAGTTTTTTTAGAAGGAGAGAGACAGAGACAGAAAGAGAGGGAGAGAGAGAGAAGGAATGGAAGAAAAGACAAAAGAAGAAAACAAAACAAATACAACCCTTCCAGGTAAATGGATGAAACTGAAGAACATCATCTGAAGTGAAGTTAGTCAGGTTCAGAAAGTCAAAGTCCACATACTTTCTCTCATATGTGGAATACAGGCCTAATACAAATGCAGCAGTATTACAAAAAATAGGTCATGCTAAAGGAGGTCACATATGAGGGAAGGAGGGTAAAAAAAGATGAATATGGCTGATGTCGTTTCTATATAAGAATGAATACAGAATTTTGAAACCTGTTGAAATCACCAGAAGAAGGGGACTAAGGTTGAAAGGAGAAAAATAGAGGGATGAACTAATTCAGGATGTGATACATATATACACGAACAGGTCACAATGAACCTCCCTATGTAACTATCTTATTTTTTTTCTTTATTCATTTATTCATATGTGCATACATTGTTTGGGCCATGTCTCCCCCATGTGCCTATCTTAAATAAATGAAAATGTCTTTTTCTCAAAAATGGAGAACAGGAAGTTAAAAGAGGTCCTGCCTGGGAGGATTGTTACCAGCAGACAGGGGAGGGAGGAATATACGAAAGGGTATAGGAGAGTGAATATAGTGGAAATATTATATAGGCATATATGCAAATGGAAAAATGAGACCTGTTGAAAGTATTCCAGGAATGGGGGAAGGGGAGATAAAGGAGAATGATGAAGGGGGTGAATTCAACTACGATATATTGTAAGAACTTTTATAAATGTCACAACGTATTCCCAATACAACAATATGATAATTTTTATAAAAAAAAAAAAACAGGTCCTTGAGATAACCCTCATTACACGTAGAGAGTCGGGATATAACACATCTCTCATCACCTGGGAAAGCCTATTCCCACAGGGACTGCTGAGATAGCCCCTTTATCAGCACAAGAGCCCTGAGATAGACCCTATAGGATAAACAGACCCTTGAGTTAAACTCAGTGGTACAGAGAAATCCAGGTAGAATTCTTCTATCAGGGAGATCTTAGGCTAGCCCTTTTCCAGACCCCAGAGAGTTCTGAGATAGCCCTTCTATATTCATGAAGACACTTGAGAGCACCTATGATGTGGATAACCGAGATATACTCTTAACTGATCATGGAAAACTAGAGACAGCCCTTCTGCTGATATCATAGAAGGCCCTGTGATACCATGGCTGACCATGGAGGGTTCTGGGAATCACACACACACACACACACACACACACACACACACACACACACAGAGAGAGAGAGAGAGAGAGAGAGAGAGAGAGAGAGAGAGAGAGAGAGAGAGAAATGGGTGTGAAAGAAACCCTTGGCACAGACCTTCATGTTGACCTCAAGATGTAAGGAGATTCCAGTCAGCTCCCAACTTACAAAGATCCCTGGGAAAGCCTTCTTAGAGACATCAAGGTAGCTGTTTGCTGTCAACAGAGGCCCCTGAAATAGCCTTCCTATGTTTCTATTGCATGAAGATTCTTGAGATAGCCCCCCAGGACAGCATCCCTAGTGTGGGAAGAACTCCAGGGTGAATGACACAGAGAGATGCCTTCTGATGTAGAAAGCTTGCTGAGGTCTTCCTAACCCCTGGAGCATACAAGCTCCTCTAACAGGTCATAGAACACCTGAGATAGCCCCAGTGAGGTACCCTGGAATAAACCCTCTAATGTGGGGAGACTCCAGGTATAGACACCTAAATACATGACAAATAGCTTTCAGAGATTATCCTGTGGTGAAGGAACACCACTGAGATAGGCCTCAAGGGACAGAGACTCCATGGGTGCCATGTGTGGTACAAGAAGGATCTGAAATAGCTTCTCAGATGACAGCCTTGATGTGTCCCTCTGATGTGGGAGGACTCCCAAGCCATGGGGTTCAAAGAACCCCACAATACATACTCTAGTGGTAGTTGACCACGCTGAAGACCCCTGATATAGCCCCCAGAGCCAGACACACCCAGCTGATGCCTTACTTCTTGGCAATGTTGAGCATTTTAAGTTTCTTCTTCATTCGTGGCCTGGAAGTGGTGGAGACGGAGGTGTCCACCAGGGAGGAAGTGGATTGTGACACCTAAAATTAAGGAGAGGATGAGTCAATTGGGGAGAGAGAGGAGCCAGATCCAGGTTTTCCCCCACTCCCTCCCAATCCAGGGGATGTCCCCCAAGAAATGTAAACAGGGAAGGGGCAGGGCCTTGGTGTGGAGAGCACAGACCGCGGGAGGTCCCGGACTCACCTTCCGCATGATCTTCCGGCCATAGAAAAGCACTTTGTCCCTCTTCCGGAACCGATACCGGGGACCATCCGGGGCTGGGGTTTCTAAGGACAGCGGAGGAGAGGGGCACTGTGAGCTCTGCGCAGACTCCAGCAAATCCTCACCCCTACCGCTCCATGGACCCCACAACCTCCCCAGAGGGGCCCTCCGGGTCCTCACTCGGCACTCGCAACCTCCGCACCACCAGAAGGATGATCACGGCCGTGACCAGCACCGCCACTCCGGCACCGATCATCACGCCCAGCACCTGAGGGATGAACGGCACTGGCTGCGAACCGCATATCGGTCCGGCCGATCCCACCTCGGGGGCCAGGACGTCCTGGGCCTCATCCCAATTCATCACCTCCGCCCCCGAGGAGGTCGTATTCAGCCCATGACTCGGTGTCCCCATCTGCAGAATGGGCCAGCGCTGCTCCCTCCCCGGGGGCGCGACTCTTCCCTGTGGCTCGGCGGCTCGCGGTGCACACTGGGAAACGTAGTTCCGCCTAGGTCCCGTTCTCGCGGGACCGCGTGTGCGCGCTGAGCATACCGGGAGTTAATAGTCCCACGCACAACCCCACGCCTTACCATTCCGGTTTGCAGCGGGGCCTCCATTGGTTGCTTCAGGCTGGGTAGCAGGTTTGATAGCCCGCAGTCCTGGGAATCATGGAGCAAAAGGAATCCGTGCAAGACGTCATTCTGGGCCTACCCTGCCTCCGCCGCCGGCATCGCGCCTTATCGCAAGCCCTGCCCCTCATCACAAGCCCCGCCCCCGGTACCTTTGGCCTGAGAGGTTTCTCCATTCGCCTTGGATGGGGTGGAAACGGCTAGCTGCGAAATAGAGAGATGGAGCATATTGGCCTTACTGCTCCGGCCAGGGAGTTAGGAGAGTCCCCAGCTCCTTGCCTGGCTTCCTTCGCACACTCAGAAAGGCTGATCAGACTCCCCGCCAGACCATCCCCATCCTGGGGTCAAAGGGTAGCGATCGGGCATCCTCAGCTGCAGGCGGGCGGGTCCCAACAAGGCGTGACTCTTTCCGGCTGGTGGCCCCCTCTCGGTCCTCAGCCCATCGCAGAACTGATGAATTTTGACCAACCGACCCCTAGATCATACCCACGTACTCCCTGCAGTCTGGCTGCCCCAGTCCAGGAGAACTGGGACCCTAAAGTCACCGGGTTATGTATTGGGGACAAGTGGGCATCTGGCTAGTTGATCCAGAATTGCCCCTGGGAGGACCCAGGAGCTGGGGGAAGGGGTGGGAGTACTGCCCGGAGCTCCCTTGCAAAGGGTCCTGCGGCAGTACCGAGGTCTGAGAAGTCCTGACACCCTCAGGGTGGGGTGTGCTTGCAAGGCGTTATGGTTTAAGCTGGGGATTTGCTATCTCGTAGTAGTAAAGTTACAGGGTCTCCGGCGATGCGGAGCATTACTGGGACCCGCGAATGGTGGTGGGGCTATTCCTGGGAGGCGTAAACAGGGACGCGGGAGTCACTGGAAAATTACTGACTCTGAAGAGTGTAGGACCGCTGAGTGGAAACCAGGAACTAACTGGTGGGCTCGTCGCTGGGGGCCTGGGGAGGGCGTCCGAGGAAAGCTGGAATTTGCTGGGACTTTTTTAGGTTGCAGAAGATACATCTGGCGCCATTAGATTACTGATGGAAATTCAAGGGAATCACTGGGCCCTCGGACGTTACCTGAAAAATTCTTAGGTGACTACTTCCTTTCCACTCCTAGGCGCACCTGGCTACCAATGCGGAAAGGAACAGGGGTGGGGGGGATGGGAGCCTCAGAAAGTCGGGACCTACAGGAATCAGGACGAACCTCCCCAACGATCCTGTTGGGCCGATGGGAACTCGGACTCACCCAGGGGCTGGAGCTGGAATCCACACTGCGCCAACACCGCTAGTTTTCCGCCCAACGCCGCAGCCCCTTTAAATTATTCACCACAGGGCGCGCCCTAGCCCCGCCCCTCGCCATGCTTGGAAGGTCACGCAGGCCGGCCATGCTGAGTGTGGCAGACCCTTAAAGGGGCCCACAAACCCCGCACCTGTGGCTCAAGCCTGTAATCCTAGCTATTCAGGAGGCAGAGATTAGAAGGATCGCCGTTCTAAGCCAGCCCGGGCAAATAGTTCGCGAGGACCGCCCCCCCCACACCTCGAAAATGCCTCACGCCAAAAAAAAAGCTGGAGTGGCTCGAGGTGTAGGGCCTGAGTTCAAGCCCTGGTACCGCAAAAAAAAAAAAAAAAAAGTGGGGACGGGCCGACGAATTATTGGTGCAAGGGCTGCCTCTCCCTCTAAAAATGAGAACTAGAAGTTTATTTTTCCGTTTATTTAACACCCACCCTACGCTCCCCTCAAGTATCCGACCCCACCGTCCCAGGCCCTCAAGGGGCGTGGCAGCGAGCCGATCCTTAAAAGCAAACTCTGAAAATAAATAATCTGGGTTCCCAGCAGTCCGCGGGATAAGGTCCAGGGCAGTAGTCAGTTCACAAGCAGCGAATGGTCCTCCGAGGCATCCCTGGAGGAGGGCGCGAAAAGGGCGCGTCAGTTCTCTGGCATACTCCCCTCGTCCCCGCCCCCACTCCCCATCCGGATGCCGGGCTCCAACCTTCCACAGCAGCAGAGCAGGCTGCAGGCTGATCCACTCCCGCGGCGGAACTTGCCGGAGGTGGGGCTGTCCAGACACTGCTCTATGTAGGCCTGGAGTTCGCTCTTCTCCACGCCTGCACCACCGGGGTGCTGGGGAGAGACACCGGGCTTAGCATGAACGCGGCTGCCAAACTCCAAGGCCCTGCCCTCCACCTCCCCTCCAGCCACCTGGATTTCCCTGCATCTCCTCTGATGGCAAAGGGGCTCCCACCTCCGGCCCTACTTCTAGTTCCTCATATCTTGCTTCTACAGGGAGACCTTCCCTGACCCCTGGATGAGGATGCACACCTCTATCTCTGACAGTTTGGCAGCCTCTGCTGCAGGTCCTGCACCTAGGAACAGGGCCTGACAGCCTGGGTGCTTGACAACCATCTATCTTGTGACCTGGGCATATGTGAAGCACAGCTGTGGGAGCAATGCCTGCTTGTAATGCACCTGAGGATGCTGCATGTGTAAACAGAGGTGGCTCCCACAGCCTGCCTGACAGAAGTGTATCTGTGGGATGACAATATCCTTGAATGGGAACATACATCTGCTGCCAGTGACAAAGGATGTGGCAGGGCCCCAGCAGAGCCTTCCCTGATCTTAACCTCCTGAAGCCACAATCGTTTCTTCAAATTCCTTCTGTCCTAGGCCTCTGCTTCGCCTGTTCCTTCCCCCAGGTGCCTAGAATCCTTGGAGTCGATGGGACTGTTCAATAACCAGAGCAGTCTACTATGCCTAGCAGCACTAGCTTTCAGGCACTTGATACGTTGAGTTTTGGGGTTTTTTCATTTTGGGGGTTTTTTTGCCTTTTGAGACAGTCTGGCTAAGTAACCTAGGCTGGCCTCAAACTCAGCAATCCTCCTGCCTCAGCCTGCCGAGTGCTGGAATTACAGAAGTATGCCCTCCTGTCTGGCTCAGGCTCTTGAGATGTAGATGGTGTCTGAGTGTAGAAATATTTGGAATTTCATTTCAATTAAAATCAAACGTTAAATAGTCTCACGTAGTGAGGGACTAGTCATGGGCAGAACATTCTAGAAGCGGATCTACTGTAATACCAATCTAAAGCAGGTTCCTTCTGTAACCTTCTACACTTCCTTCATACCTTTTGCCAGTCGGACATTGGCCAGTGGACATCCATTCATGTATCATCCATCTTTCCCACTGGCCTTACACAGGCAGTAAACACCTGATTTCCCTCGATGCTCAGCATCCACCATACTCCCTGGGACATGCCTGCTGAAAGAATTCTGTCCTCCAGCACCCCCGCCACCCCACCATGCTGCTGTCTCTCTCCTCTGACCCCTGCAGCCCCATAAGACACAAAGATAGGGGCTGGGAATGTAGTTCAGTGACAGCATTTGCCTAGTGTAAGAAAGGCCCTAGTTTCAATCCCTAACACCTCTAAAGAAAAAATAAAACTGGGTGCCAGTGGCTCAACCTATAATCCTAGCTACCCTGAAGGCAGAGATCGGGAGGATCATGGTTTGAAGACAGCATGGGGAAACAGGTCATGAGATCCTACCTCAAAAAACCCATCACGAAAAAGAGCTGGTGGAGTGGCTCAAGGTACAGGCCCTGAGTTCAAGAAGAAGATGGGTTAAGAGCATGTCTTCCAAATCAGACTACTTTGGGTTGAACCCAGCAACACTCTCAGTTGTTAACATGCTCGGAATTCCTGACACTCTGACTCAGTAAAAGCAGACCTAAGATCTCTCCTGGACCAAGTCTATCCCACAATGCTAGGGTGGTATGAACCCCACCCGTGCCCCCCATTTCAAGCCACTCCAGAGTCTCCTACATTCTCTTCTGCTCAACCTGCTGTGTCCCCAGCAACCCTGTGTGGCAGGCAGCCCTTGAGCTCAAGGCTGTGTATGTATGCCTGTAGGGAGGAGAACTAGGGAGGTGGAGGAGAGGCTGACCTTGATGGTGTCGTAGGCACCAGTGATGAGCGCAATGAAGAGGCTCAGGACCATGTAGATGAAGAGGCTGATGAAGGAGTAGAGGTAGAGCTGGGAGAAGAGCCACACCAGGCTGCTGCGGCCCTGCTGTGCCTGCATGGCCGCAAATGTCACAAACATGTCATCGCCGTTGATGAGTGAGAACAGGCACTCAGACACCATGGATAGCGAGCGGAACTGCGGGGAGAACGGTGGGTTCAGAGGGAGCCCTGGGCACAGAGGAGGTCACCAGTGGTCAGTGGGCAGAGTGCCAGCAGTCACAGATGGGCCCATTTGAGGACCACCATGTCAGTGACCAAGTCACAGGGTCAATATAAGGGCCATGGGAGTCAAAAGGATCAAAAAGCAAAACTGTGTACACGTGGAGGCCTAGTATCAGGGGTTGAGGTGGGTCACTAAAGGTCATAACATCAATAACAGAGAGACCAGGGCTCTGACGTCTCGGGGAGGGGAGCTGGGGACCCCTCAACTGTAGCTCATGAACACCCCTGGCCGCCCCTACCTTCACGTGGTAGGGCCCCAACACGATCCAGCCGCAGAAGCAATAGCCCAGGTAGATGACGGCCACACAGCAACAGAAGCGCATGACACTGGGCAGCGCCACCCGCAGTGTGGCAATGAGAATCTATGGGGGTGAAGAGGACCCTGATGAAGGTGTGGCCACAACTCAGCCTGGCACTCAGATGTGAAGGAGAAAAGCAGACAGGGACTCACCAGTGGGGCCACAGAGGCTGGTGAGAGCTTAGAAGGGGCAGGGTCATCCTAGGGGGCTCAGGGCACCCTCACCTGGTCTCAGCTTGCACCCATGTCCCTGCCCAGGTGCAAGGACAGGTGTGTCTGGGGCGAGTGGGTACAAGGAAGGGGCTTGTGGCCAGCCATCACCTGGCAGGAAGTAATGACTGCTTTATCATAGTGGTGTATGTGGGGGCATGGCACCGTTACTAGGAGGACCCAGCCCATCCCTGCCCAGGCCTGGCTCAGGTGTAGTAGGCTCACGTTGTACTTGTGGAAGAAAGTCAGGTAGCGGATGACTCCAACCCAGACAAGCAACGTGGAGGTGCCAAGGAGGATGCTGCAAACGTCGTAGCTCGCCAGGTTCTGGGGACAGGAGCAGTGACAACTCATGGGCCCCATCCTTCTTGGGCCGGATAGACCGGATGATGGGGCCAGGACTCGGGGACAAAGGTGGCACAGGGCCCCAGGACAGGATGTGGGGAGGACCCACCTTGGCCTCAATGCCAATCTTCATGATGGTGCCGGAGACTGTGAGCACGTCGCTGGTGACCAGCAGGATGTACCAGCCATTGACAAATTCCAGCCGTTCCCACAGGCTTATTTCCTGTCCCCGCTGCCGCCACATGAACCTGACGAACTCCTGCAGGAGGAAGCTGAGTGAGGGGCTGTCCAAGAATGGACTCTGCAAGCCCCTCACGGCCCCAGGGCTGGGCAAGGTGGGTGCAGGCACTTGTAATGCTGGGGCCTCACGTTCTGCAGCAGGAAGCCTCGGAGCAGTGAGCGGGCACACAGCAGGAAGGACAGAGAGCAGGTGAGGATGACCACCATGTCAAATAGCAGCCGGAAGCTGTTGTCTCCTGCAGGGAGGATGTGGTGGTTAGTGTCAAAGGTGGCACAGAGCTGTGGAACACCAGAGTCAGAGTGTGGCCAGGGCTGCAGACCTGGGGAGTGCTGCACAACTGATTTTGACTGGTCAGTGGGTTCAGGGGTTAGTCCGCATGGGGAGAAGTCAGGATACCCGTAATGTACTGGACAGAGGCTCAGGGGATTCCTACGCAGGTCACAGTCCCCTTATTGCATTTGACTGAGGCTCAGGGGACTGCTGGGCAAATCAGGGCCCCAGTGTTGGTCTGGGGCTCATAACCAGTCCCAGGCCCAGGGAACACCCAGGGTGGTCAGAGCTGGAACGGGGCTGTGGTGCTCACCATGTCTGGAGACACTGGGGTGCTTACACTCCTGGATGTGGGCCTGGGTCTCCAGACGGATGGGAATGCGCCCGCTGTGCGCCTTATTGTCAAACGTGATCTGCAGGGGCCAGGCAGGACAGGACAGGGCAGAGTAAGCCTTGGTAGTCCCGAGCATCCCCAGACCCCCAAGACAGATTCACTCTCCATCCCTAACCAGCCCCCTCCTCCCCACACCCCCCTTAGCCAATGCTCCCCAGATTGCCCTGAGCAGGCAGGAGGAACTCAGGAGCCCTATGAGTCCCCAGACCACTGGGGGGCTCTCACCAGGACACTGAAGGTGTAACAGTCAGGGATCTCATTGTTAATGAGGCTCTGGAGGTTAATGGTCTTCAGCTGGAAGTGGATGGTGACGTTGATCAGCCTGGGGGTGGGGGAGGTTCAGGTGAGGTGCAGGGGCCCCACCCATCCCTCCAGCCTGGCTGACAGCAAGCCTGCCAGTGCCGACTCTGCAGCTAGCAGAGAAATGCTCACTCGGCTGCAGGCAACATCAGCGTGGGGGCAGCCCATGCCCCCACCCATAGAGAAGTGGCTGTAGGTCAAGGATGCCTGGCATCCTGCCCCTCCCACCCTCAACCCAGCCCTCCAGCCCTGTGAATAAGCAGGCAGTACTTGTGAAATTTGAGTGTGAGGTTCCTGTAACTGGAGCTGCCATCCAAGAGGGCAAGATCGTCACTGGGAGACTCGGGGGGCCTCTCAGGGGGATCCACCTGGATGCAGTCTGAGGATAAGCAGTCAGGAAAGGGCCTCAGGGAGAGGGGGAAACCCAGGCCTGTCTCCCAGAGTCCCTAAAAACACCCCAAAGGCGTTCTTCCCTGCTTCAACCCCCACTTTATGATTTGTTGCTTTTTTGTTTGTTTTTTGAAGTACTGGGGGTCAAACCTAGGGCCAGGCATGACAGGCACATGCACAGCCACAGAGCTACACCCCTGGCCTGCCACTTCATGCTCAAACACTAGCTGTCTCTCCCCAAGGTAGGGCCTGGTCTCTTAATCTCTATAGACACCCTAGGGCCTAGCGGTGCTCTGTGGGCCCCCAAAACAGTGGATGAATGGTATTAAAAAAATGCCTGGCTCTTCCTACGTATCATGCATTCTATGAAGCACATTGCATATGTCAAATTATTCGTGATAACGATGATGATGATTACATCTCACAGATGAGCAAGAGGCAGGGCCAGGATTTCATGAAATCTTTTTTTTTTCAGCAGTGCTGAGGATGGAACCCAGGGCCTCTGGTACATGCTAGGAAACACACTACCACTGAGCTACGCTGCAACCCCTGCTCAATCCCATCAGCTAAGCTCAGCCCTGCTGACTCACCAGTGACCACCATCGGGTCAATGTCAAAGGTGTCGTTGGCTGGGTCAACGTGGCCACGGTGGTAGTATCGTTGGCACAGAGCCAGTGCCGAGCCGTTGGTCCAAGGGCCACCCCCACCCCGAACATAGGCATACCTGCCCAGCGACACCTCAGGCAGCATCAGGTACTGTGGGTGGAGGAGGGGAGGGTCCATTAGCCCCACCTACTCTCTGCCACAGGACCCCCTGTGCCTGCCCACTGCACCTGGTCCACAGCATAGAAGATGGCCTGGTAGAGCTGCTCCCTCGTGTATGCCGCAAAGGTGTCGTCGGCCCCATCCGAGTAGCCCAGCAGGAAGAGGTGTCGGAAGGCAATAGTATTCTCTTCCCTGAATGCTACCACCAGCTGGTTGCTGAGTCCAAACAGGATGAGCTGGAAAGGGGGGCAGCAGAGGTTGGCCATGATGGACAGGTGGAGGAGGAGCAGAGAGGACCCCAGAAGACACCCCCTGGGGTGGGGCAGGGCCCTCCCAACACAGGCACCTGCACTAATATTGCCCTCCTTGCCCCCACTCCTGGCGCACACACAACACGGAGTCCATCACCAAGTCCTCAAAGCACAGACCAAAACAGGCACTTGTGTATCTCACAGCAGCTGTGAATGTGCTCATTGGATGCCAAGTTCTATGCTAAACCCAGTCCTCTGAGGTCATTTTCTTTACTGAGGGGAAATTAGAGGGACCCAGGCCTGAAGTCACAGCCTTGGGCCAGGAGAAAGAACTTAGGGGCTGAGTGTGATTCATAATTGGGTCCCTGAAGCCACTGTGAGAGTCCACAAGGCATCAGGCAGCCTGGGTTCAAATCCCATTTCCCAGTGCTCAGTGGCCTGATGTATCCAATGCGGACAACAGCACAGCCAGCACCTCAAAGGGCCTGTGTGAGCCTGAAAGGAGTGGCTCCACACACAAATCTCAGGTGACTTCTGGACTGGTTGTACCACTGCCAATGTCATTATGCTGCTTCGAGGAGCCATTCCCAGACTCCTTCAAGGAAGCAGCTGCATGGTGGTGCTGGTTGGACACCTGAACGAACTGTCTCACCTGCACAGTGACCACCAGAATCTTCACCACCTGCAGCATCAGCTTGCAAGGCTTACGGCCTTTGGCCCGGAACTTATCACAGGGACTCATGAAAAAGTACTTGAGACGGCGACGGAGGTCTTCCTCTTCTGGGAGGGTCGGAGGTACTGGTGAAGCCCCCATCTGGGTCCCATAGCCAGGATTGGAGGTCAAGAGCCTCTCGGTCTCTATGGGGATGGGAGAAGGCGGTGGAGGACCAGGCACAGGCAGGTCTACCTGTTCCCTCTGCCTCCTTCCCCAACAGCAAAAGCTCTAGCCAAGGAAGAACTCTGACAGGCTTAAGAAAAACCAAGTCAGATGTGCTGGTGCACTTCTGTAATCTCAGCACTATGAGCCTGAGGCAAGGGGATTGAGAGTTCGAGGCCAGTCTGGGACTACATAGTGAGCTCCTGTCTCAAGAAAAAATTAAAAAGGGCTCAGTGATAGAGCACTAGCTTGTGTAGCACATGCAAGACCCTGGATTTGATCCTCAGCACTACACACGCACACAAAAATTTAACTGACGCAAAAGGACCAATTTTTAAATAGAAAGAAAAACCAGGAAATCTGCAACATTTTATGGTTATATACAATGGTCCTGCTCAGAGGTTTTGAGTTGGGGTATGGAAATTGAAAGGGCTTGACCTGATTCCTAGCCCTGCCGCTCATAGCCTTTCTTGGTCTCAGTTTACTCATCTGCAAAATGGAGCAAAAATCATCTCTCAAAGGGAAGCTGAGGACGTGGTGCTTAGAAAGCTTTATCACAGGGCCTGGGGCATGGTGAATATGGGAACCATCCACCAATATTCCTGTTGTGAGTTTGTGGGGAAAATGAACTGCTTCCACTGGTTTCTCAGGGGCCATACAAGGCCCCTGGGCTTATCCCAATTCTAGCCTCCAGGCTCACATTCCACCTTTTTCTGAAGAAATACCCAAAGGATGACCTTCCCACTCATCACAACCTGCCCATCATGCTGATACCCTCATAAGCCACAAGTCTGGGAAAGGACTACTTGACAATAACACTGACAATAACAGAACATATTTGCAGATGAGTCACTTCATCCTCCTTAAGGGCACCAGGCCCTGGAAATCACACAGCCCTAGGGCTAAGTCCCAGACCCAGGGCACCTCCCTAGCTCTCATCTGATAAGTGTATGTTAAAACCATCCACCCCTAAGGCTGAGATTCTGAAGTTACTCTGAGAATTCAGCCAATCAAAGCAGGTAAAGACCTCAAAAATTCTTCAGCAAACAGAATATGTTCCAATCACTGCTTATTTTGTTTGAGCCTAAGCCAGAGACCCAAGGCTTCAGTAAGTGCTGGGGTCACAGTCAGTCACAGTAGCCCAGAACTGTCCCTGACACGCCCCCACCACCTCCACTGGGAGAACCTTGCTTCTTTCAATTCTTTCCTTCCAGGGCCTGACAACGCTGTCAGGATAGACTTTTTTTTTTTTTTTTAAACTTATGGTGATGGTTCTGGGGATGGAACTCAGGGCCCTGCACATGCTAAGCAATCGCTCTACCACTGAGTTACACCTCCAGCCCAAAAGTTATCAGCATAATTGTGGGTGCTGTCAGAACCTGCGGTTCCAAGCTCCTCCCTTTGTAACCGGGATGGTCTTGTTTACAAGTTATTTAGAAGAGAAGACAAAGGGCAGCCCCTGCCTCCCTCCCTAGCTAGGATCACTGCTCACTCATGCCAGACCCTACCAGCCTCGACACTTCTGAGGTGTCTCCAGATTCCCGGAGGAGAGGTGACCTCTGAAGGGGCCGCAAGCTGGGCACCCACAACCTGGATTCAAGAAGGCAATGCCTCTAGCTCCCCGCCTGACTGCAGCTGCCTCTCTTCAGAAAAGGAAGCGGGGGTCTCACATGCGAGTTGCAATAGCTGGTGCCAGCTGTCTCCGTTCCAGGAAAGTTGAGCAATCAGAACTCAGGTTCCGAATGACGCCCGGAAGCGGGGCAGCCCCGCCCGCTGCCTGAGTTCGGGAAAATGGTTATCGAGAGTTCCGTTTTCACCCCCCGCCCTCCACGAAAAGCCTAGGAGCCCAAGGTTCTAGCAGCTGTCTGTCTTATATTTCTACCGTGCTGCATCTTAGGAAAAGAAAACTGAAGCCCACCGCCCGAGGTCGGAGAAGCTGGCCGGCCCTTCTTCCGCCGCTCTCTTTCGGGCCCCGCATCCTCACCTGAGCCACGCCGGCCCACAGGGGCTGCCATGCCGGAGCGCGGAATGCGGGCCCGCGGGCGCGGCGGGGGCAGCCTGGGTCCGAGCGCCCGCCGCTGTCACTGCGGCCTCACTCCCTCGCCGCGCAGCTTCAAACCCTCCGGCATCAGCTGACCCGCGCCGCGGTCACGTGATCCAAGCGCCCGGGCAAACCACGTGACTTGTTTTGGCACCGCCTGTAGCGTCACGACAGCCACACCCCCCAACACACACTCCCCCGCACCCCCGGCCCCAGCAGTACGCATGCGTGCCTCGGCGTGCTGCAGGCGATCTCACGGTCCTAGCGCCGATCTTCCTATGGAATCGCCTCCCATGGCCGCAGCGACTGGCTCCGCCCAGGCTCCCTGTCAGCTCCCGCTTCTGGTTCAACCTCGTGACTTCCACTTCCAGAGCTTGACCCCCTTAACCTCCTGTGTCTGGTGTTGACTCTGTGTCCTATCTCAGAGCTGTTCTTCCTCCCAGAAACCCCTTCTGTCCCCCTCATCGAGATCATCAGCAAACCCTATTTCCTAAACCAAATACGACCACTTATCCCTACCCCTCCAGCACCTATCTCAGCGACCCCAACCTCCCTGCAGGAACCTCCTGGATCCCAGCGCCCTTACTCCTGCTACCCGCTCCCCACACACACACACACACACACACACCCTCCACTCTTCACCAGGCAGCCAAAAAACACCTTACAAGAATAATTTCCGTCAATTCTCTGCCAGGACTGCTGGTGGCTTCCCATTGCTTTGGACTGACAAACTTCCCACCTGGGTTTACCAGGCCCTCTGGGCTAGCCCCTACCTTCACTTTATAGTTCATCTTTTTTGTTTTGTCAGTATTGGTGTGTGAACTCAGGGCTTGAACCACACCTCCAACCCTTTTTAGTTATTTCTTAGATAGGGTCTGAGTTTATCCCAGAAGAGGCCTCGTATCTTCCTACCTATGCCCCCTGCATATCTGGAACCACAGATACGTGCCACCACATCCAGCTTATTGGTTGAGATGAGGTCTTGCTAAATTTTTTATCCAGCCTGGTTTGGAACCTTAATCCTCCCAATCTCCACCTCCACGCTGATTACAGGCGTGCTCCACCACACCCAGCTTCCTATAGTTCATCTCTTGATGGCCCCAGCACCTTTGCACACTCTTGCCCTGGAGTATTATAGCTAAGGACACAGGTTCTGCAGGGCAGTCAGTTTGGGTTTAAATCTAGGCACTGCTAACCACTATTTGTACATTTTCCAGAGTCCCTTAAACTCCATAGGTTTAGTTTCCTCACTTGCAAAGTGAGATTACTCAGTTATCTGCCTCCTGGAGCTGCTGAGAGTATTAAATGAGAGATTGTAAATCCATCACACAAGGCTGGGCAAACAGTACTGATTATTCAATTAATGATGTTAAGAGTATGAAACCCTTCCTTAAAAGACTGGCAAGGGCCGGAGGCGTGGCTCAAGTGGTAGAGCACCTTGCAGATAGCAAGATCCTGTCTAACAACACAAAAAACCCTCCCCAATAAAGTGGTCCACCCCTCCATCAAAATCAGAAGTCTTGGGCTGAAGGAGTGGCTCAAGTGGTAAGGAAACCTGCCTAGCAAGTGTGAGGACCAGAGTTCAAATCTCAGTGCCACCAAAACATAAATGAACACATCAGAAGTCTTGCTGTGCTTCTAGAGTGTGCCATTTCTGAATTTGATGAGTTTTGTCAAAGTCAAGGCCATGCTTATCTTGCTCCCTGCAGACTCCAACAATCAACAGATGTTTGTTAAACACATAAATATGCAGCATAAACGTGCAACTTCCATTTGTCCAGTGGTATAGCAATCCTGTAGGCTCTTGGAGAGCGTTGGCTACACTGCCCTCAACATCCAGTATTAGCCTCCGCCAGAAATCCCAGCATAGGTGGAAGAGCCAAAGGGAACTCAGGTCACCTGTAGAACCAGACTCCTAACAACTAGAGTGGGAGACCTGGGAGAACAGCGCTGATGGTAGAATGGACCAGTGTGGGAAGCTAGGAAGCTGGGAGGGTGGAGCTCCAGATGTAGGCTGGCCCTGACCACACCCTCCTTTCTCAGGAAGTCTGGCCCTGCATCTGGGGAGAAAGCACAAAAGGAAAAGTACAACTCGGAGCCAGGAGGCAGTGAGAGGATTTTACTAAGTGCACAACACACAACTTCCCCAGGCCACCACAGATGTCGGCATTCCCCTTCAGCCATCAGGCCCCAGCAATGCTCCCTGTTCCTTTACCCACTCAGGACTCTTGCCAGTAGGGAGGGCTGGGCTGGCAGTGTCGCGAGTGGGAGAGTGGGAGTCACGGTGGGATTCAGGGTTAGGGTCAGGACTGGGCAAAGGATCAGGGCTGGCACCAGACTCACGGTCAGGGCTGGGCACAAGGTCAGGATCAGCATCATGACCAGGCTTAGGGTCAGAAGATTCAACAGGGCTGGGGGTGGATCGGGAGCCAGAGAGGGCTTGGGAGCTAGGATTAGGGATAGAGCCCAGCACAGAAGCAGGGTCAGGGCTGAGGCCCAGGCCAGATCGGAGCACAGAGACACCATCAGGGCCAAGGAAGGAGACCTGCCCGGGCCTCATCATGGATGCAGGACTCAGGCCAGGCCCAAAGCCTAGCCCAGCAGCGGCTGCTGCTGCAGCAGCAGCAGCAGCAGCAGCTGCCGCACCCTCATGTACCCGCTTGTGCTTGGTGAGGCTCGAGGCTTGGCCAAAGGCTTTGCCACAGAGCTGGCAGCGGTAGGGGCGTTCGCCGGAATGCACGTGGAGGTGTTGCAGCAACGCCGAGCTCTGCCCGAAGGCCTTGGAGCAGTGCGGGCAGGCGTAGGGACGCTCGCCTGTGTGAATGCGTAAGTGGTGCTGCAGGTTGGAGCTCTGCCCAAAGGCCTTGCCGCAGTGGGGACAGCGGTAGGGGCGCTCGGCAGTGTGCGTGCGCTGGTGCTGCAGCAGCGCGGAACTCTGCCCGAAAGCCTTGCCGCACTGTGGACACGGGTAGGGCCGTTCGCCTGTGTGCGTGCGCAGATGCTTCAGCAGCGCCGAGCCCTGCCCGAAGCCCTTAGCGCACACCGGGCACTTGTGGGGCCGCGGGCCGCCGTGCGTGCGCAGGTGCTGCGCTAGCAGCGAGCCGTGCCCGAAGGCCTTGCCACACACCGGGCAGTGGTGCGGCTTCTCGCCACTGTGGCTGCTGCGGTGCTTCAGCAGCGTGGAACGCCAGCCGAAGGCTTTGCCACAGGCCGCGCACTGGTAGGGCCGCGCACCAGTGTGGATGCCGCGATGCTGCGCCAGGGTGGCCCCGTGGCTGAAGGACTTGCCGCAGTCGGGACAGCGGTACGGCTTCTCGCCGCTGTGGGTACGGCGGTGCTGGCTCAGCCCCGAGCTGCGGCGGAAGGCTCGCCCGCAATCAGGGCAGGAGAAGGGCCTGGGCGGGCTGGCGGGGGCGGGGAGCACCGCGGGGCTGGTGGTCAGGTCCTGGGGGTTGGCAGTGTGGCCAGAAGAAAGGGGGTCCACGTCTGGAGCAGCCGGGCTGAGAGTGTCGCTGTTAGGGTCGAGAACCAGGGGCACAGGGCCAATGACATCAGGATCGAGGTCGAAACTTGAAGATATGGGGTCCGGATCTTGGGGATCCGAGTCTCGGTCCCCCAAGATGGAGCCTGGAGCTTCAGCATTAGGGTACAGATCCTCCGAAACGGGCTCCATATCTTCATAATTGGGGTCCACGTCTTCTGAGACAGTGTTGAGGTCTTCGCGATCAGGGTCTGCGTCTTCGGAAATTAGGTCCAGATCTTCAGGATTGGGGTCTAGGTCCTCTGACTCAGAGTCAAGCTCTTCATAAACCGGCCTCGGGCCCTTGTGGCCAGGGTTCCTGACCAGGACTGAACGCCTTATCCCAGGAGTGGAACTGCTGGCCATTTCTGGGACAGGATCTGCAGGGTGAGGACAGAGAGTGGGTGGAGGGAGCTTCTGAGGAACACGGAGTCTCTTTTGGAGTCTGGGAGGGGATGGGAGAAAGGGAACCCAGCCACATCCCCAGAACTCACTCCTGGACACACACATGGATCTTTCCCTTGCCTTTGATAACAGGGAGACCTCTCACTAGCCCAAACCAGGATGTGGAGTAGAGGGACCCTGGTGGGACATGAAGGACCCTCCCCTTTTTTCCCCAAACCTGAATGGAAGTCATGAGACTCAGAACTAGAGGTCTCCAGTGCCCAACTCCATGGCTGTGCCCCTCTGTCCATCTTGGGTTCCTGTGGTGGAAAGCTTGGGTCCTGTTGGAAAAGAGAGTCCTAGGTTCTGACCCCCTTGACTAGGGTCCCTTTCTAGGAAAGAGGAGGGTGTCTCAGATCCTGTGCTCCTGAGAACATGGCCTGAATTCCTGCCTCACAATAGCGGGTGGAAGATTCCTAGTAGGGAGGGAGAACTTGTGGCTTGATTTCCTACGGAGGTGGTGTCCTGAGCTATGGAACCTTAGCTGGGGGATAAGAGAGGAGGGACAAACAACATCTGTCACTGTGGGGAGGGAAAGGGGACCCTGGCCTGCCTCCACAGGGGACAATTTAATTTCAGACCTTAGGACTCCACCTAGTCCCTAAGTTGGAGGGTAAGGGTAGAATCCTCTTGGGTTCCTAGGAGAACCTTGGGGGCATCTCCTGGGAAGGAGAGATTCCTGGGCCCATGACTGGGGGATTGGGGATTCAGTTAGTACACCTGTGTTCCCTCCCAGAGAAAATATCCTGAACTAAATCCAGCTCCATGGCTGAGAGGCAGACAGGGAGGTAGAGCAACATAGCTGGGACTCCTTCTGGGGGTCGGGAAAGCTCAGGGTTACTTTTGGGAAGATAACATGGCTGGGGTCCTGGCCAGTGGGGACCTTTGGCTCCCCTTCTGGGGATGGGGCATACTGAGCCACAACCTCATAGCTGGGAGGGGGGTGGGCAAACCAACTGTGCAGAGTTCCTGGATGTCCTCCTCAACCCAGACCCCATAGTTGGAGGGTGGAGGATACAATATCTGGGGTCCCCTCCTGGGTGCCTGGGGGAGCAGAGGAACCCTTACATTGCCTCCAGAGGAAGCGGCCTCCTGACTTCCCATCTCTTAGCTGGAAGATGGGAGGAGAAAGCACTGGAGTCCCTGCTGAGCTCCAGGAGGCCAGGGGGACCCCTGAGTCACCTCTTGGGAAAGGGCTTCCAGAACTCTGGATCTCAAGACTGAAGAGGGAGGGGAACAATAGCTGGCCCATTTTCTGGAGTCCTGGAGGTAAGGGATGTCACCTCTACCAAGGAAAGGGCTCCCTTAAGTTGCCGATCCCAAGCTAGGGATGGGGAGAACAATACCCAGGCCCCTTTTGGTTTCTAGAAGAAAAGGGGACCATGGATCCCTTGCCTAGGGAGGAGGCGTCCTGAGCTCCGGTCCCCAGGGCTAGCAGGAGCCCCCGCCCCTCCCGATCGCAGGATCGCAGCTCCGGGGCCCTCGGTGGCCGTGGCTGGGGCGCGCTAGGCCGGAGGGCCGCGGGACCCCCTCCCACTACGCCCGCGCCTCCGCTCGTTCCAGCCTCGCGCGGGGCGAATAGAGGTCGCCCCGGGCCGCGGGCCCCCCTCCGCCCCTCGCCCGGCCCCTGCCCGGTCCGGCCCGCTCTTGGAGACACTCACCCGGCGCCCCTCGCCCCTGCCCGGCCCGCTGCGCCCGCGCCGGCCGCCGGCGCCCCCCGGGCCCGCAGGAAGCCCCCGCCCGCCAGCCCCGCCGGCGGCCCCCTCGGCCCAGCGGCCCCGCCAGGCGCTCCCGGGGAGCGAGAGGGGCCGGCCGAGGGCCGCAGCGGGAGCTGCTGGGACTTGTAGTTCGCCCGCGCCCGCCGCGGCCGGCGCCATCGCTGCCCCCGCCCCCCGGGCCAGCCTTTGTCCCGGTCAGGCCGCCCTGGCCGCGCCGCTGCGCCTTTGTCTGCGCCGTGCCGCGCCCGCGCCGCCCTGGTCCCCTCTCTCGGCGCGTCCGTGTGTCTCTCTCAGCCCCTCTCTGTCCCTGGCCCTGACTTTCTGTCCATCTCTCTGTTACTCTCTCTCTCTCTCTCTCTGTCCGCATCTCTCTGTTTCATTCTGTGCCTCTCTCTTTTCCTGTCTCTCCACCTCTGTCTGCCCCTTTCTCTGTCTCTCTGATCCCTCCTCTCTCTCTTTCAATCTCGTTGCCCCTGGTCTCATCACTTTCTCTGCCTCGCTCTCTCTGTCTCAGCCTCCTGTCCATATGTCTGTCTTTGTTCAGAAAACAGCAAGCATGTCATGGCTTTGGCAGACTCTCCATAAGCATACTTAAGCCTTTGAGAAGCCCTGAAGTTTAAAACTTGTCTTTGCTTCATCCAGCATTTCTCCCCATGCAAAATTTTTTGTTGTTGTTTGATAGTGCAACACTTCACTATTTCTGGGTAACGGTGTTACACACACACACACACACACCAGGGCCTGGGACAGTGTCCCCTAGTGTTTTCAGCCTCCTACCCAGTTGGCTGGTCGCTGCTGCTGTCCCTGGGGGGACTCCAGGTGCCTGGCTCGCCTGCTGATTTCTAGAACACCTTAGCCAGGACTGGGGAGGGCTCTGGACCAAATTTACCTAGAGACACAGTTCCCCCTGCTAGGGAGGGGGTGAAAACCAGCCCCCAGGCAGCTGGCAGCTGGGCCATGATGTTCTTTACTAAACATAAACAATGGTCACAGAATATAAACACTGATCAGACAAGGCCACTCTGTGACCATATCTGAACGAAGATAGAGACAAGGACACACTGCAACCATAAAAAAGAGTACACATCCCTTCTCCTAACTAATGTAAATGATTTATGCTTCTTGCCAACAACAGCTTGGTCTCCTTTTCCAATTCTCCTCCTTCAGAGATGAAATACCAGTAGACAATCTGCAGTCTGCTTCCTGAAAGCCCATTCCAGAACTGCTTCAACTTTCTCTAGAACAGCTACCCAGTACAAGCCCAAATTCTCCAAGAATTTCCCCAGTTCCTTCTTTTTTAGAGGATCCCCAGGATGTCTTCTTCCCTAAAGGACTTGAGCTGAAGGGGCTTATTCTGCCTCCAGCTACCTTCCCCAATTGTTCAGAAAAGTCTGCAGACTGAGGTCAAGTCCACCCCAGCACATAAAAGAGAGAGAGAGAGTGCCAGGCATGGTCATGCATACCTAGAATCCCAGCACTCAGGAGGCTGAGGCAGAAGGATTGCAAGGTCAAGGCCAGCCTAGGCTATATAACAAGACCCTGTTGAAAGGAGGGGGCAGGGATGGTCTCTGACTATATGGTTGAACTCCTGGTTATAGTCATACCTGAAGCCAGAAGCCAAAAGCCCTCATTTTTTTCTAGTCGTATGAGCCAACAAAGTTCCTGGGTGTTTGAACTAGTTCTAGTAGGTTTCTGTCCCTTGCACCCAGGACAGTCTTGACTAATTTAGAAGTTAGCAACTGGGAAGGAAAGGATATTGGGGGAAATAACAAAATGTAGAAATGCTAAGCAAAGGTGGAGTTGAGAGCCAGGGCCACCACATATATGGCTTATAAGATAGGGTTTGCTCAGTACACAACCTGTCAGGATGTATATGATAGCTTTGTAGAACAGCATTCCTTGGGAAACTTGAAATCTCAGTTATGTGGAAGAAGAATAGCTCATTAAACTCTTGACTATTTTTGTCTTGGAACCCTGACCATGTGTCTTCTGAGGTTGTGGCTTGAGGGATTTGGAAGAAAAATATTAGGCTGTTGGATGCAGCTTTTAGCGAGGTGTTGACAAACACGAGCTTCTTGCATTTCTCTTTGTGAAAATAGACTAATTAAAATCTACTCCATTTTGTGAGATTGTTAGAGCTGAATTCTCTGCTCAAAGCTAAAAGGAAGAGCCACTGGTTTCCAGGCACTGCACTGCTCTAGCTGCAGCCTTTTCTTTCTCTAATAAATCTACCTATGTGTGCACAAAAAAAAAAAAAAAAAAAGCTAAAAGGAGGCAAGTAGTGATGGAGATAAGATTGGGATTATCAGAGAGAACTGGATGCCATGGGCAGCTCCCAAACACTGAACACACCCCATCCATAAAACGTTAACTATCACTTGCACTAGGAATAGCCCATTAGTGGAATTTATCTACCCTGTGGATTATAACCTCAGGCAAGATAGATGCACTGGACAGATACAGCTCTGTTGCTAGGAGACAGTGGCCAGAAAGATTAGGCCCCAGACTTAAAGATCTTGGTGAGACTTGAGGAACTAAATATCCCAGAGTGGGCTGGCTGGCTGGGATAACCAATTACAGTAACTCTATTCCTCTGGGCACATAGTGATTGGTTCATAGCTGGGCACGTGATTCAAATGAGCAAATCAGCATGTTTTTAAAATTCCAATCTGAGGGTAGGAGAATGATGCTCCTTTCTTGAAGGCTTTAATCATTCCCTAAACTACTCCCAAACTCTGAACATTGGAGCCACCAGTCCTTCTTTGCTGTCACTTGAAGGGAAATGCAACTGAGAGATAGTGGGAGAGACAGTCCTGATGTGAAGCCAGCAAGCTTGGTGTTAGACTTGATTTCACACTTCTTCTTCCTAAATCAATAAAATCCCTTTTTGCTTGAGCTGAATAGAGGTTGGTTTCTGACACTTGCTATAAAAATGATTTAAGATCTAAGCAGGGTTGAAGCCATGGCTCAAGCAGAGTGCCTGCCTACCAAACACAAAGCTGTGAGTTCAAACCCTACTGCTGCCCCCCAAAGATACTAAGTACATGCATATTTAATCTCGTTCTCAGAATCACCCCCATGAAAGGGGAGCTATTGCTACCCTGTTTTACAGATGAGAAAATGAAGATCAGAGCTTGTCCAAGAACAAAAAGACAGGTAAGTGACAGGTCTGAATTCTGCTGCTGGTTGTGCTTATTGTAGACAAGGTTGTTTTCCTTTAAAAACAAATCTCAGTGTCCCCATGTTCCACCAATTTTAATTATTTATTTGTTTGTTTTGCGGTACTGAGGCTTGAACTCAGGGCCTTCACCTTGAGCCACTCTGCCAGCCCTTTCTGTGATGGGTGTTTTTGAGATAGGGTCTCAAGAACTATTTGCTTGGGCTGCCTTTGAACCATAATTCTCATGATCTCCCCTCCTGAGTAGCTAGGATTACAGGCGTGAGCCACCAGCACCCAGATCTACCAATTTTATTCATCTTAGTCCATAAGCCATTTTTTGTGGGGGAATGAGTATGATACAGGAAGTATAAATCCATAAAATACATCTGGGATCACCCTGATGGAGTGCCTTTTCCTACTAATTAAATATTTCCAGTAAAGTTTCTGTTCTTCCCTGTAAGAACAGAATGGGGATGGTCAGTCCCATTATTAGGAAATGCTTTCAGTTGCACTGAAATTTGGTTCCTTGTAACTCCACTTCAGCTGAAATCTGATCTGCTTTAAACCATTCCTGGAACCAGGCAGGAGAACAAGCAATCCTACAACTGGAGGATTAGAACTGAACAGTAAAATAAACTTTCTGAGCTTCCTGGCAGGCAAGAGAAAAGGAAAAGTCTTTCTATTTTAGTAATCAGGTCAGTGGGCACACTAGCTTCATCAAATGATGGTTCTACTGCAGTAGTTTTCAATCAGGGCAATTTCCCTCCTGCTCCATCATGGAGGAGGGGGTTTGCATTTGGCAGTATCTGTCCAAACTGGGAGAGAGGTGTGCTATTAGAATCTAGGAAGTAGAGGACAAGATGACATTGAATATCTTGTAATGCACAGGACAGCCTCCAATAAAGAATTATCTTTTTCAAGCTGGGTGCCTGTGGCTCACACCTGTAATCCTAGCTACTTAGGAGGCTGAGATCCGGGGGATCATGGTTCGAGGCCAGCCCAGGCAAATAGTTCAAGAGACCCCATCTCCAAAACAACCAGAGCAAAATGGACTGACTTATGGTAGAGAGCTTGCTGTGCAAGAGGGAAGCCCTGAGTTCAAACTCCAGTCTCAAAAAATTATCTGATCCAACTGGGTATGGTAGTGGTGCATGCCTGTAATTCTAGCACTCAGGAGGCTAAGATAGGAGAACAGTGAGTTTGAGGCCAGCCCAGGCTACAATGGCAAGAAAACAGTTGCAATAAAACAAACAAAAAAAAGAGTGATCTGATCTAAGATGTTGATAGGACTGAGAGTGACAACCTGGTTTATCATGAGGTAACTCAGAATAGTGTCATTCAAAACATCTTCAGGGCTGGTGGTGTAACTCAGTGGTTTAGTGTTTGCCTAGTGTGCATGAGGCCCTGGGTTCGATCCCCAGTACAACAACAACAATCTTCAGAGGAGGCAAGCAGAGAAGGTTTTCTGGAGATAGCCAGCCCTCACGTGGTCAACATAGTACCATGTCAGCCTTTGGAGGTCTGAGCCTCAGGATTTGGGAAAGCCATGTTCATTCCTTGAGACAGGAGGTGCGACATGTCTGAGACAGAAGGTCCCAGATGTGGTCACCAAGGTTCATTTTTTCCACAGGCACACCTGACTTCTTCCTCCCCAGACCCCAGAGACCTTGAAGGTTGGGTGCTGTCCAAGGTACTGGTTCTTGCTGAGCTCTGTCCCTTACGGGCTCCAGGGTCTCACCTTCCTTTTGATCCTTTTCATTTTTGTCCCTGGCTTCATGTCTACCTACCTCCTCATGGCTTTTGTTGATTTTCCTTCGGATGCTGCCCTGACCTGGTCAACCAGCATCCAATCAGTTATAACAATCTTATGAAAGAGTTACTATTTTGCTCCATTTTACAGATGAGCAAACTCAAAGGGGACGCTGCCAAGGTGACATTTATTGCTTGCTGGGGCATGGGTACAAAGGGGCCTGGGGTGCCCAAAGGTCTACCTTCCCGCCCCCACAGCCCCACTGGCGAAGCGTCCCAAGAGGCAAATGGCTCTCCTGGGCATTTCTCACTCTCAGTACTGCTGGCTCTTGGTACTTGAAAGGAAACTCGTCCTGGTAGTGGGTTGAGAAGAAGCATTGTCCACCCAGTGGGGGCTCCACGTGGCTGTACTTGCACTGAGGAGTCATGGTGGGCAGTCTGGTAGGGTAGCCTATGGGGTGGCTGACCCTGGCCACCCTATGGTCCCCAGATCACCCTGAGGACATCAACCAGGGCAGACTCAGCCAGGTTTGACTGGTGTTTAGATCTTGGACAAGAGAGGCCTCAGTCGGCAGTACCCCTAGAGTGACCCCAAAGCTGGAGTGCTCCTAGGTGACTGACTCTTAAGTTTAACCCTGGTTGATGATAACAGATACCTCTGAACCTACCTTGACATGACCCTAGGGGTGAGCCAGGGATGACTTTCAGGCTGGGGTGACATTAAGATGACTCTGAGCATGGGGTGGCCCTAACTAATGTGACACTAACTCTGAGTCTGGGGGTGACAGTATACTCATACCGAGAAAACTCTACATTGGTTTGGGGGGTTGCCTGGTGAGGGATGTACACTTTGCCCCTCTCACCCGCCACAGCAACTCTGGAGTCATGGAGGCTCGAGTCGCTCCGTGCGGCTTCAGCATCTTCTGGTTCGTGGTTAAAAAATCTAGATCTGTAGATATGGGTTGGGGCAGCTAGCTGAGTGAGGGGCAGAGGGAGGGGCCGATTTGTGGGGAATGTGAAGGACTAAAGGTGCAGGGGAAGTGTTCAGCGCACCTGGGATAAGGTGGGCTAGGGCTGGGACCAGACCAGATGAGTCTGGGGGCGGGGCCAGGTAGCCGGTGGGGGCGAAGCCAGAGTCTGACCAAGGAGGAGGGGTTAGGATTCGGAAAAGAAGGAGAGGGAGAGGGGCGGGGCTATGGCCGAGTCCGATGGGCGGGGCCATGCAAGAGGAAGTGCCATAGTGGGGACGAAGGGCGGTCCAAGTCACGGGGGCGGGGACTTGTCCAGAGGCGGAGTTGGGGTTCTGGTCAATAGGGGACCGAGCCAGAGTTGGCTCCAGACTGAGTGGTGATGGGGCGGGGCTTTCCTGTATGGGGCGGGGCCTCGCTCACCGCCGGTGCCCTGCGGCAGGTTGCCGGAGGCCAAGTGGAGGTTGAGTGCTTTCTGAGGTTGCCCCACGTCTAAAGGGCAGTAGTCCGAGCCCATGGTGGTCCGGAAGAAGTGTCCGAGCAGCTTTGCCTCTCCTAGGGTAATGTGACTCTGCAGTTTCTCATGAGCCACGTGGCGGCTGGGTGGCTGGGTCACAGGTGGCGGCTATAGGACCACACCACAGGCATCTGGGAACGCTCCTGTGTCCCGGATGTCCCAAAACCCATTGGGAGGGAGGTGGTGGATGCTGTGTGACCTTGGACAGTTCCCTTCCTCTCTCTGGGCTCCAGATTGCGCTGGGAGTTGATCCCGTTATCTTATTTTACAGACGGAGAGGTTGTATGTGACTCACCCTAGATCACCCAAATAGATCTAGGAGCTCCTCGCATACATATCGAGCTCATTCCCATCCCAGAGCCTTTGCATTTGCTTTTTGTCCTGTTTTTGAAGCCCTCCCCCTCGCCCACCTTCGTGCTGACCTTGCCATAGAAATACTGCCTGGAAGTGTCAAGGCTGCCTGGACCGGGACACCAGTTTCCTTTCAGGATGTGCGACTCTGGGGTCTGATCGTGGTGGAGAACAAATGGCTCTGCCAATGACAGAGCAGGTGCTGAGCACCTTGGGGAAGCTGCTGAGGAAGTCAGGGGAAAGGCAGACCCAGGCTCTTACCTGGCTTCTTAGGGTAGAAATGTTCGGTCACGGTGGTCCTGTTGTGAAAGACACCATCTCCAGGACGGATGTTCACATAGTGGATTCGGGTGGCAGCCTGGGCCTTGTCATACCTTGAGTGAGGTAAGATGGGATCATTGAAGTTCCTTGCAACTCCAAGGAAAGGGGACGAGGACCAGGTCCCCCAGTGGCCAAGAGAGGGGGTGATATAGTTGGCGATCTGACGCATTCCTGGAACTTGCCTAAAAACGATGGAGGCCTCAAAGACAGAGTATTGGTTCCACAGCACTAAGTGACACTACACATTACTAAAAGCCAGTGGTCCATCTTGGTGTGTAGACAGGCGTCCCTTTGTACCTGTCTGGGAGCAGCCTCTGCGGTGTGTGGGTCTGTTTCAGCTCTGAGCACATGGCTCCATACTCAATCTTGCAGTCTCCCAGGTGCACAGAGGAGCAGGCCTGTGGGCAGAGAGGGGTGGAAGACTGAGGCCACCCAGCCCCCAGTTGCTGCCTTCCCCAGCAGTCCCCATGAAGTCTCAACTTACCCTCTTACACATCAAGGCAGGTGGGCCTGGAAGGGCCTGGAACTGATGCAGGTAAGAGGTCTCTTGCTTTCCTCTGTAGTTCCACCTGAGTGTGTTGGGCCCCCCTTATTGGGGGCAGGGGAGAGGAGGGATTAATTATTTGCACCCTCAGGAATTTGATTCCTTGCCTGGGTAGGGAAGCTGAGCAGTCCTGACCAGTTTGAACTGAGGGAAACACCAAAATACAATAAAAACCACCAAGAATAACTGCCAAGAATTGAGCCAGGTGTCTACTTTTAGTGTTTTGTACATCCTTCTTTCATTCATTATTCATTATTTCATTCATTCTAGAGCCTTGAGGCTCAGAGAGGTGAAGTGACTTGCCAGAAATCATAGAAATTAGGGGCCAGAATTGAATCTAATCCAGGTCTGAGCCCAGCTTGGAAGGGCTCTGACTAGGGTTGTCCACCAGAAGGGTCTCTGGAGTAAGAGTTGGAAAACAACACAAATGGTGGCTACTGTTTGAGTGCTTGCTGCATGCCAGGCATGCCAGGTACACTATGCGCACTGAGCAGTTTCAGTTCCTTTGAAGTCAGGCCCTGTGGTTGCACCCGTTTTGCAGATGAGGAAACTGAGGGTTGGAGAGGTCAACTTTGTTCAAAGTCACACAGATATTAAGGTGGTAAGGCTGGGATGGCGAAGGGGAACTTAACATTTGTATGACCTTAAACTAGCATTCATGACTTCCGTCTCCAGGATCACACCCTGGAGATATGCCCCATCCACACATGCAGGCGGAGGGTCCCGGGGTTTGGGGAGTGGCTAATTCTCTTTGGGGGGAGCTGCCTTTAATATAGTAGGATTTTAGCGACATCCTTGGCCTCCACCCTCTGCTTGCTAGTGGCACCCTCACCCTCAGTAGTGATAACCAACTTTTGCAGACGTCGTCAAATGTCCCTGGAGGGGGTGGGGCGGGGGGAGTTGTGAAGATCCCTGCCCCTCTTTGGGTGGAGCAAATCCAGCCGGCGTCCTGGGCGCGCGCTCACCCAGGTGGGTGCTCGGCGCGCGGGGCGGCGGGCACGCGTCATAAGGCGGAAAGTGAGCTTGGTGCGTGGTGGATGGGATGCGTAGCTTGTCCCTGTCGCCCGGTGGGAGCGAGTCGCGGTCGAAGATGAGGCGCGCGCCGCGGATCTGCTCCAGGGAGCGCGGCGGCAGCTCGGGCCAGCCGTAGACGGCGCGCGCGAGGGAGAAGCCGAGGCCGGTGCGCGCGTCCGCCTCCAAGCGCACATTGCTGGCCTGCATGGCGAGCGTGTGCCTGCGCGCGAACTCCCGCACCTCCTGAGTCGGCGGCGTGAACGCGCGGTGCGCCTCGGACACAAGCGACTCGGACGCCCAGCGCGAGTCCTGTTGGGAGAGCGGCACGCGCGGCGGCGGCGCGCTCGGCTGCTCCGGGTTGGCGGTAGGGTAGGCGGGGTAGTCCTGGTGAGACCTGCTGTGCATGGCGCCCTGGTGCAGCCGCGGGTCAGGCCCCAGCGAGAAGTGCGAGGCCTTGAGGAAGGCCTTCAGGGACATCCCGCGCGGCCGGAGGGCGGTCGTGGCCATCACCGGCCGTTGTGCCACCTGCGAGCGGACGGAGATACGGGACTGAGCAAGTGACCGCCAAGGACAATGCTGCCTTTTACTCCTTTCTGTGTGTCAGGCCCTGCGTTGAAGCTGGGGAACAGCACAGAGAATAGGCACAACCTCTATGCCTAACCCCAGGGAAAGAAAAGAAATAAACCATTCATATCTTTTGGGTGCCAGACGCTGTCCTAGGCCTCGAGTCGGGTACATCAGTTAACCAAACGCACCAAGAACCTTGCGCGTAGCCGGTGCCAATGGCTCACGCCTGTAATCCTAGCTACTCAGCAGGCAGAGATCAGGAGGATCGCAGTTGAAAGCCAGCCTGGGCAAATAATCTCAAGACGCTATCTCAAAAAAACCCATCACAAAAAAGGGCTGGTAGAGTGGCTCAAGGTGTAGGCCCTGAGTTCAAACCCCAGTACTGCCAAAAAAGAAAAGAGAAAGAACTTTTCCCTTTTTGGAGTAGATAATGGGATTAGAGGTGACATACAATAATGAGGAAATTTCCGATAGGGCTGTGGCTCAAATGGTAGAGCTCCAGCCCAGCAAGTGCGAGGTTCTGCGTTCTAAACCCCAGTATTGTCACAAAAACAAACAAACAAAGGAAGTTTAAGAACATTAATTGTGGAGTAAGTTATAAAATAGGAGGATTGTAGGGTTTTTGTTTGTTTTTTTTGTGATACTGTGCATCAGAACCAAGGGGCTCTGTATGTTAGGCAAGAGCTCTGCCACTAAGCTACACCCTCCCCAGCCAGGGTAGCAGTATTCAATAGAGTGATCAGAGAAGCTCTCCCTGAGATGACACTTGCTCAAATACCTGATAAAGCTTAGGAGGGGAAACTTGGGATGTAGGGGGAATAGCACTCCAGGCAGAAGGAACAGTAAGTGTAAAGGCTCAGAGGCTGGTTCAGTGTGGAGTTCTGTGGGCAATGACACTGGAAAGGTAATGGTGGGTGGACCAAGTCCCCTAAGATTTTGTGAGAACTTAGACATTTTCTCTGAATGAGATGGGAGCCATGGAAGAAAATGAGACATGCTATCATAGAAAAAATATCTATCCAGGGATGGAGATGATGGAGATGTGGCTGAAGTGGTAGAGTGCCTATTTAAAAACAAGCATGAAGCCTTGGGTTCAAACTCCAATTCTGCCAGAGAGAGAGAGAGAGAGAGAGAGCCAGATGGGGTGATCCATGCTGTAATCCTAGCTACTTGGGAGGCTGACATCAGGAGGATTCAAGTTCAAGGCTAGCCCAGACAAGTAGTTCTAGAGACTCCATCTCCAAAATAACCAGAGCAAAATGGACTGGAGGTGTGGCTCAAGTGGTAGAGCACCTGCTTTGCAACCACAAAGCCTTTACTTCAAACCCCAGTCCCACAAGAGAGAAAGAGAGAGACACAGAATTTCAGTGCATGCCTTGAAAAAAAAAAAAAGACTGCGCACAGCTAGTATGTATTAAACACTTACTTTGTACACATTTTTATCCAATGAACCCCGTGGGGTAGGTTTTAAGCACTATTTCACATCAGACATCAAGGCTCAGGGAGTTACCATTTGCTTAGGAATTGAACCTAGGACTGACTCTGATCGGAGAATCAGAGAATTAACCACAAGTTTGTCTGTATGGGAGTTCCTCTCCCCCCCAGCCAGCCACCATGGCCACCCATGGCTCTCCTTCCCTCCCCATTTCTGTCTCCTGCTCAACTGCAGCCCAGCAGTCCCACTGTCTGGTTTCTGCAGTCTTTCTTACTGTTGTCTCTGACCTCTGTCTGCTCCTCTCAACCTCTTCCTCTTCAAAACTACCTGAGGTTTCCACACCTCCCCCCACCCCTTCCTTCTCTGACTTTTAGCTTCAGGCTTCCAGCCCCTCTGCTCAGCCACCTGGGACTCTCTTGTTACAACCAAGCTTCCCCGCCCCTCAGAGAACCTGGCTCTGAAGGAAGCTCACCTTCTATTGGGAGCTACTTGCTCACATCTACCTCTTTAGAAAACGTGTCAAGATGCAGGGGTTTTTTTGTTTTTCTTTTTCTGCTCCTCCCCCCCCCGCCCTGCTTTTTTTTTTTTTTTTGGTAGTACTGGGGTCTGAATTCAGTGCCTTGTTTTTTCTGGGCAGGCACTTTACCACTTGAACCACACCTCCAGCCCTTTTTGCTTTTAGTTACTTTTTTGGATAGAGTTTTGAGTTTTTGCTGAGGGCTGGCCTTGGACCAAGATCCTCCCAATCTGCATCTTCTGAGTAGCTGGGATTACAGAAGTGAGCTACCATACCTGGCCAATGAAACTAGTTTTTAAGTGTATAAATTTTTTGTTTGCCATGCTGTGTGTGTGTATTTGTGTGTGTGTGTTTAAATCATTTTGAAGCCTGAAATAGTTGAGGGTCAAGAAGTTTCCAAAATATTTTTATGGCAGAATCTGACAACTAAGATTTCTGGTCAGATGACCTTGTAAAAAGTAATTGAACTCCCGTAAGCTCCAGTCTCCTTCTCCATGCAGAGAGGGACAAGGACAGAGACCTACCTCACAGGATGCCATGGGGGCTAATGAATCTTGTACTCAGCAACAGTCTGGTCCTCAGACTGCCTCTGCTCTGATGTCCTAGAGGACACTCACATGGTCCTTCCAATGCTGGTTCCAGCCCTGCCCATTGTGACCCAGGGAGCCTCCCCATAATGTTGTCACAATGATTCCAGGCACCTTTGGGGACAGGCTGGGGGATCTGATCAGTAGACATTATTTAGATATATTGAAATGTCACCCCATACCCCACAAATATGTACAATAACTGTGTCAGCCAATCATTTTTAAATACAAGGGAGTATAGTTTGAAATGTTCTGCCTTTTGATTGTTACAGTGGTTGCAAGTATACACTTGTTAAAGCTTATTAAACTACATATAAAAATGGTGAGTTTTATTATATATAAATTATACATCAATAAAGTTGATGAAGGGCTGGGCCTGGTGGTCTACATCTGTAATCCCAGCTACTTGGGAGGCTGAGGTAGGAGAATCCTGGTTTGAGGTCAGCCAGGGCAAAAGCTCCAGACCCTTTCTGAAAAACAAACTAAAGCAAAAGGACTGGGGGCAGGGCCCAAGTGGTAGAGCATTTGTTTAGCAAGTGCAAGGCCCTGAGTTCAAACATCCAGAGGAAAGCAATGAAGGTGATTAGATCCTGCCTAGGTTTTGTTCCTTCTTGCTAAACTCAAGCAAATTATCTTTCTGTCCCCTGGGTTGAGGACAGATCACCTGCTCCAGGCCTCAAACCCACCCAAAGGCTTTGGTCCAACCAGGCAGATGTAAATATACATTTCAGTTTCGTCCTCTTGCCTGCTGGGAAAAGGAGGTTCCAGAAGGCAGATCCTGAGTTGGGGTGCAGCTCAATGGTAGAATTCTTGTCTAGCATGCCCAAGGCCCCATGCTTCATCCCCAGCACCGCAAAAACAAAACAAAGCAGGAGGAAGATCCTTGATGTTAATAGGATGCTAATAGTGTGAGGTCATTGTGGGGGGAGAGGGAGGGCTGTACAGGATGAGAGATGCATGCCCCCATGCTCGGCTGTTGATTGAGGTGGGGTCTCACTAACTGTGTCTGAGCTAGCCTCGAACCACAATGCCCCCTATCCCCCACCGCCAATATCTGCCTCCAGACTAGCTGAGATTACAGACATGAGCCACCACACCTGGCCAAGAGAGGTCATTCTGTTATTATCTGAATTGTTTTCAGGAAGAACACTTTAGGAATGCAGCCAGGCTAATGCTGCAACATGTAAAGGGTTATCGGTCACTCCTGTTGGGCAGGACTAGCGGGTCTTATTGCTTGTCTGCTTGACACGTTTTGCCTGTGTCCAAACATGATTATGAAGCGAGCTTGTTTTGTCTTGCTGCCTACTGGTCACAGAGTGGCCTTGTCTAATGTTGGTGTTTGGTGGAATTGTTTACATCCAGCAGGAGGACATTGGCTGGGGCCCAAAGCTAGTGCCTAGCAACACCAAGGCCAGCTGTGAAGGCTGGGCCAGCTCAAGTCTGTTTCTCAAAGGTCAAGTTCAGCTCTAACCGGATGGGGGATGCTGGGAGGGCTGGGCGGTGCCTGCCTAGCTCTCTGCTGTGTCTCAGGGGCCTGGAGCAGTGCCTGGCACATGGGAGGTGCTCAGAGAAATGCATTGTGCTGTCATAGGCCAGTGGGGACAGCACAGGCTGAGGAAAAGGGATCCTTGGATTCATGCAGCAGAAGTTTCTGCAACCAGAGCTCTGTTCACCTTGACCTTGGCTTGGGTTCTGTTCTGCTGCAGGGTCTGTGACCCCAGTTGGGGAAGGAGGATGCACACAGACCCCTGGACCCAAGTCTTAACAGGGATAGGCACTGGGTGGATGTCACTTGGGGGGCTGGGTAGTGAATGTAACTCAGTGCAAGTAGCTATGAGCTAGGGAAGTAGCACTTGAAGTTATTCCTCCTTCAAACTGCACCCTTGCACCTGTTATTTATTCTCTCTCCAGCCCCCATCACCCACGTACTATTTCATTTTTTGTAGAAATTACTTTTCCTGGGCTGGGGGGTGTAACTCAGAGGTAGAGCACTTGCCTACTGTGATCAAGGCCCTGGGATCCATTCCCAGCACCACAAAAGAAAAAGAAATTGCTGTTGCGGGTTTTGTTTTGTTTGTTTGTTTTTTAAACTGCATTAATACATAGAACCTAAAACTAACCATTGAACTCAGGGCTTCGTGCTTGCAAGGCAGGCACTCTACCGCTCAAGCCCCACCTCCAGTCCATTTTGCTCTGGCTATTTTTGAGATGGGGGTCTCTTGAACTGTTTCCCTGGATTGGCTGTGAATGGTAATCTTCCTGATCTCAGCCTCCCAAGTAGCTAGGATTACATGCATGAGCCACTGGGACCTGGTACTTGTGTTGGTTTTCTTTGAGATAGGATCTTGCTTTATGCCAGGCCGGCCTGGATGGAGATCCTCCTATTTGTGCTTTCCACAAAGCTGGGATGACAGGCATATGTCACTGCACCCAGCCATCAGTTGAGAACATTTTGCCCAAGTTGGCTTTGAATCGTCATCCTCTTGATCTCTGTCTCCAGAGTAGCTAGGATTACAGACATGAGCCACCATGCCTGGCACATTTTAAGTGTACAGTTCAGTGGCGTTAAGCACACTCACATAGCTGTGCAACCGTCCTCATCCTCCAGCTCCAGCTGGGCAAGTAGCTAGGCGCCGGGCAAGCAGCACTTACCTAGCATGCACAAGGCCCTGGGTTCCATGTCCACCACTGCAAAAAATAAAAGTTGCTTGAGATGTCATGTGGAAAGCAGGGGCTCAGGGTCAGGTGAGCCAGAATGGGGGCTGGCCAGAGAGAATAGGGGAAAAGATGAGCATAGTGTCTGGGACTGTAGGTGGATGACTGGGTGGATGGCAGGGCTGTCCCCAAATGAGGATATGACAAGTAGATGTGTCGATGCTGCTGCTGACATCAGTCTGGGACTTGCTTGGCACCAGGGGGCTTGTGGGCTGTTCATTTGAGGGCAAGTGGAGTAGGAGACAGGTCAGGATCAGAGATGGATGTGGAAGAAGCTAGTGAAAGGTGACTAAGATAACCTATTACAGGTCATGACAGGGGCCCTGTCCAAGCTAGGTTCAAACCCTATGCCTTAGCATTGGATGCACATGTTGTTCCTGCCAGCCTAACCTGGCTGGACTTTCACATACCCACCAAACCTCTGAGCTTGGGCATTTAGGTTCCGACCAGGTCACTGAAGTTAGCCCCAAATCCCCTGTAGATGGGCATTTAGGTTGTTTCAGGTGCTTTCTGTGCCTAGCCATGGTGAGCACCAATCAAATCGCCTGTAGTTGGGAATGGACAAATTCTCTCTAGGAGGCCTATACTGGTGCCTCACGCCTGTAATCCTAGCTACTCAGGAGGCAGAGATCAGGAGGACTTCAGCTCAAGATCAGCCTGGGTGGAAGGGGAAAAAAGACCCTATCTTAAAAATACCCAACACAAAAAAGGGATGGTGAAGTGGCTAAAGTGGTAGTACACCTGCCTAGAAAGTGTGAGGACCTGGGTTCAAACTCTAGTATAGCCAAGAAAAACCTACTGAAAATTTGCTTAGTGTCGGGCTGTAGAGATATAGGACAGATGGAAATTACTGCCTTGGAGTTCATATTCTGGTCAGAAAAAAGACTGAAGAATAAATAAACAAGTTACATTTTGATAGCTGCTATTGTTTGGGTGTGGGCTGAGTGTTCCCCAAGGGTTCGTTGTGATCAGAATAGTCTTGGCCTGCAGGGGGTGCTGTTGGGAGGTGGTGGGACCTTTGGGAGGTGGGTCTAGAAGAGGTCCTGGGGTCTTTGGGGGCATGTCCTTAGAGGGTAGCTCTTGCTGGAGGATCCTTACGAAAGAAGCAAGTGTGACCCCTCCAGCCCTCTCTCTGCTCTGGGTTCATGATGTCATCACCTGCTTGCTCTTGCATATGCGCTCCTCAGTGACAGGTCATGTAATGCAGCTGAGAACTGGACTGATGACTCTGCCGTGCCCTTGAACCTCCAACCCTGTGAGCTAAATAAACCTCTTCTCCAGAAATAGTCTATGTAAGGTATTTCATTACAGTGATGAAACTGACTAATAACAATAATGTTACAAAAAAAAATAAATAATGTTACAAGCTAAGGAGAAAAATGAAGCAACAGGAAATGCCTGGGAGGGTGTGATCAGGGGGATCCCATGAGATGACATGTAGGAGGATCTAGAGTTCAAGGCCAGCCTGCGTTACAGTGTGTTGAGAGAAAGAGAGAGAGACAGAGAGAGAGAGAGAGAAACAGATTTATAGTTGCCAGGAACTGGGGGTATAGAGGAAACAGATAACTCTCTAATGGGAACAGACGGTTGAGAAAAAAAAATTTTTTTTTTTTTGTTTCTACCCTTAGTTCATAGCTAGCATGAAGTCTTGTAACAAAAGAATTAACAATTGCCTGGTGCTGGTAGCTCATGCCTGTAATCCTAGCTACTCAGGAGGCAGGGATCAGGAGGATCGTGGTTTGAAGTCAGCCCAGGCAAATAGTTCGTAAGACCCTATCTCAAAAAAACCCATCACAAAAAAAGGGCTGGTGGAGTGGGTCAAGGTGTAGGCCCTGAGTTCAAACCCCAGTATCGAAAGAAAAAAAATTAACGAGAAAAAAACAAACATTCATTAACATGTATAGCTCATGATATCCAGGGATCCAGAGAAATGTGTAATTCTCAAGAGGTAGGTTAGCACTTGGGCTTATACGACATCTTCAACCAAGAACAGTAAATTCTTGGAGAAGTGATGAGACAAAGAAGTAGGACTTTGAGTCTCCAGGGATGGCAATTCTGGGTAGGGAGATAATGGTAGATAAAGGCTGTCTCTGCTAATCAACCTTGTCCTTCCTGGGAGAGAGGGAAGGGACACCTTTGTGAACTTATACCTTTCTTTTGGTCAAACAGGGAGAGCAGAGAGCTTTTCCCATGTACACTTCTTTCCAATTGTTTTCGGCTCAAAATAAGCCTTATGCCAATATGGTATATTTTGTGGTGGCATATTCTGCCATCTACAAGGGTCTCCTTTAGGAGTGATGAAAATACTTTGAAATTAACAAGGGGCAATGGTTGTAAATATACTATATGCTACCAGATTATGCATCTTTAAATGATAAAGTTCATACAACGATTTGTCCCACAGCAAAAGAAAAAAGGAAGAAATGGGTGTTAACTTTTTGAAAAAAAATTTTTTTTTTCCTTTTCCCAGTACTGGGGTCGGAATTCAGGGCCTACACCTTGAACCACTCCACCAGCCTTTCTTGTGATTTTTTTTTTTTTTTTTTTTTTTTTGAGATAGGGGTTCATGAACTATTTGCCCTGGCTGGCTTCGAGCCACAACCCTCTTGATCTCTGCCTCCTGAATAGCTAGGATTTCAGGCATGAGCCACCGGTACCTGGCATGAAAATTCTTATTTATTTATTTATTTTTCGGATGAGATAATCTGTGTATTGCACAGAACTCAAAAGTTACAAAATGTAACTTTTAGCCCAGTCATCTTTCCTTGGAGAAAAAACTGGGTTTCCAGATCCTTGTCTATTCTTCTGCAATGATCTGTGCATTTTCTTAATGCCTAACGATCCCTCATGAAGCTTACTTTTTGCATGTGGGTTGGTCAAGCCGCCATGGGACAAACTGCAGCAAGCTCCAAGGGTCATTTTGGGTCCAATGGCCAGGGGAGGACACAGGTGGCCCCTCACATTTGCAAACTCACCAAAGGCCATCTCAGGGACAAAGGGCGGCAACCGCGCCTGCGCAGAACGCGCGTGCGCGCACCTTCCCAGGACGTGGCCTGGCCCCGCCCCCTGACGTCGAGCTGACGTCACGGCGGAGTTGCCATGGCGGCGCTGGATGGTCTGGCGTCTGCGCTGGAGTCGTACAGGGGCCGGGACCGCCTGGTGAGGCTGGGGCCGAGGCGGGGCCGGAGTCCTGGAGTTCCGTCAAAGCTCAGAGATGGGGAAACTGAGGCCACAGAGGGGGCGGTGTGGCTCAGGATCCCCAGTCACGGAGGTCCTGTCCTAGCGAGGCTCAAACGCCGTCCCCTAGCGTTGGACATTTAGAGATCTGACCAGAACCCCGAAATTCGTCCCTGGGTCGTCCTGGACAGTCTCATACACGGACTTGCGATATTGCAGGGCTCCCCATAGGGCTGGACACTTAGGTTCTGACCACATCCCCTTTACTTGGGCTTCCTAAGTGCTGGAATTTCAGGTGTGTACCACCATGCCTGACTTGGAAGCAGAAATTTCTGAAAAGTAGATAAAATAGTGAAAGACATAAGGGTGGTGAGCCTGATCTGTTTCACGGTGCTCCAAATCACTTATTGAATGGGTTCCTTCCCACTCAAGTAATTCAACCACGGTTTTGTTTTGTCCACTGAATTGAGGCCAGATGGTGCTCCCTGCCTTCCACCCAGGTTAGCCTGGCCCTGCCGGGTACATGCAGATATACATTTCAGCCTTGTCCTGCCTACTGGCAAAAGAGGTGACAAATAGTTTTGTTTTCAACGTTCCTGTCACATCTGTCCCCAAAGACTGTGCCCCTTGGCAACACAAGCTAGCACAAGCTGGCACTCTTGTTAGACTCTCCATTTGCTCATTTTGAACACTGATGTCGTGTTTCTCTTTTTGTCTCATAAGAATCTCTCTTTTTTTTTCTGTGGTAGTCAGGGCCTACACCTTGAGCCACTCTGTCAGCCCTTTTTTGTGATTTTCTTTCTTTTTTTTTTTTGAGATAGGGTCTCACAAACTATTTGCCCGTGGCTGGGTTCGAACCATGATCCTCCTGTTCTCTGCCTCCTGAGTAGCTGGGATTACAGCTGTGAGCCACTGTGCCCAGCTATAAGAACTTTTTTTTGTTAGAAGCTTGTCGATTTAGAATCTTCCTGGGTTCACAATCCTGTAGGGCCCTAGGCCAGTTTGGGGGTAATCCAGCTCAACCCACCAGGGACAAGGCCATGCTGACTGCTTTTGGTTTCCCACAGGTCCGAACATTGGGGTACTGCTGTCAGCTGGTTGGTGGGGTCCTGGTTGAACAATGTCCTGACAGGTTGGAAGTGGGGACGCGCCTGCTGGCGGTGTCTGCCCAACTCAGCCACTGCAGGACTGTTCTGCGACTCTTTGATGACCTGGCCATGTTTGTCTACACTAGGCAGTATGGCCTGGGGGCAGAGGTAAAAGGGCTCATGGGGCTGTATGGAGGGGGGCGGGGCAGACCTCAGGGAGGCTGGGGCCTCGGTCAGTGTTTTATGGACTTGCCCCAAAATGCTTCATGGTAGCTGACTTATTTTTTAATTTTACTTTCTTTTGGAGATGATCAAATGTTCTCATTTAAATTTAAATTTGAGTTTATTATAAGTTTCTCTTTGTGGTACTGGGGTTTGAACTAAGGGCTTCATGCTTGCTAGGCAGGTGCACTATCACTTGAGTTGTTCCTGCAGCCCTTGTTTGTGCTGATTATTTTGGAGCTAGCATCTAGCTTTTTGCCTAGGCCAGCCACGATCTTCTTTTATTTACTGAGTGGCAGGTGTGTGCCACCATGCCTAGTTTTTTTCTGTTGTCTGGGATGTCTTCAAACCTTGATGCTCCTAATCTCAGCTCCTAATCTCAAGTAGCTAGGGTGGCAGGTGTGAGCCACAACTGTTGCACTGCTGTGTGGTAGCCAGTACCACTTCCCTGCTGCACCATCTTGCCTGGTCTTGGTGTGGCCTCCCCTGCTCTGTACCTAGGGTCCTGCACCCTACATCTTTACCTGAGACCCCTGTGCAGGAACCTCCAGAAAGGGTGTGATACAGGTGTCCCAACTTGGCCATTTATAAGAATCCCCTGGGAAGTTGAAAAAAAAAATTCAGCCGTGTGCAGGTGGCTCATGCCTGTAACCCTAACTACTTGGGAGTCTGAGATCAGGAGGATAATGGTTTGAGGATAGCTAGGGCAAATAGTTCTTATAGACCCTATCTCCAAAATAACCAGAGCAAAATGGACTGGAGGTGTGGCTTAAGTAGTAGAGAGCCTGCTTTGCAAGTGTGAAGTCCTGAGTTTAAACCTCAGCCCTACCAAAAATAAATAAAATAAAATTAGAGCTGGGCATACTGCAGACCTCAAGAGGCAGAATCCTTAGCGCTGGCATCAAGGCACAGGGTTTTTAAATTCCCTCCAGGGAATCCCATTGCCCAGCTGAGTGAGATCTGCTACTCCATCTGATGGGACCCCGCAGCCCAGCAGCCTCTTTCTTCTGCAGCGCCTTGCTGAAGTTTCTGACTTTGACCTCCCTGCCTCCCTCTTATGGGACAGCCTGCCAGGCCTGCACACGAGCCACAGATTGTAGTGGGGAGAAATCTCACCACCACTTGGTGTGGCCCCATCCTAAAATGGGCAGTGGGTAGGCCCAACTGCCTACCAATCCCCCTCTCCTGGTCCTGCAGGAAGAGGACATCTTTGTCCGCTGGCTTTCCATCGTGGGCAATATCGCCGACCAGCTGTACTATCCATGTGAGCATGTGGCCTGGGCTGCCGACGCCAAAGTCCTCCATGTGGACTCTGCCCGGTGGTGGACACTGAGCACAGCCCTCTGGGGCCTCTCCCTGCTCCTGGGGATTGCCAGGTGAGTGACATCAGCCAGAGGGAGCACCTGAGTTCCCTGGGTGGTGTCTCCTTGGCAGGGCTGCAGGGACACCACCCCTTGTAGGTTACTTTAGGCAAAGGAAAAGGGTATGGGTTCTTCATGCTTTGGCATTTTCCTCCTTTTGTTTGACCCCACAATGTTTGCTTCCAATAACTGCTGTTAAAAGTGAACACAAATTTGGTAGTTTTAAACAACACAAATTTGTTATCTCATTGTCCTGGAGGTCAGAAGCCTTGAGTCAGTTTTATAGGGCTAAAGTCCAGGAGCAGCAGGGCTGGAGGCTCCAGGGAGGACCCGTGTCCTGCCCGTTCCGGCTCCTAAAGGCCCCATATCCCTTGGCTCACGGCCCATCCTCCCTCTTTAGAGCAGCAACTCAGTGTCTCACAGTCTCCCTGCCTCTTACGAGGACCCTGTGATGGCATTTGGCCTCAGGTGATCCCCAGTCCTTCTCTTGATCCCATCAGCAGAGAACTTCCTGCCATGAGCATGACAGGGAACATACTCACAGGTTCTGGGGATTAGGACATGAACTTCTTGGGGAAGGGGCTGTAATTCTGCAAATTTGACCCAGGAAGAGGAAGTAACTCCAGGTCCTGGAGAGAAGCAGCTGATGTGGTGGCCTCTCCTTGGGTCCTGAGTCCTACTTGTCTTGTCACCAGCAGAATTGCCAAGGAAGACTGCCAGCAGTTTCATGACTGGCTCCATGCGCCCAAAAACATGCTTTCAGAACATTACAGCAATGGTGTTCTCTTTACAGAGCTGCTGAGTCAGTGTTCAGAGTCTTCCACCCAAAATACATAAGCAGTGGAGGCCCCATGTTTCAGTGGCAGAGAAGGCCTCTTGGGTCCCCAGGGTGAGGTGCAGTTGTCCCTACCTCACCTCGCAGAGGGCGGCTGCTCCCTCTTGATTCTACTGTCACTTGTCCCAGGCAAGGCACTGACCTCCAGTGGTCATACTGATGCCGATTTTATGCTTATGGACAGTCTGGAAAACAGACAACCCAAACGAGGATTCTTATAACCCCCCGCCCCACCAGAGACCCCAGGTGTTTAGATTTCCTGATTCTTTTCCAAGCCTTTGTACACTCTGTGGACAGGCTTGGCCTGTCTCCTGAGGTCTGTGTGCCACGGCTGTGGTTTCTTCTTGGTCTCAGAAGTACCCTGAAGGTCACCATGTCTGTTGCTGGAGCCTGCCCGTCTCTCCCTGTGTCCAGTGCCACCCTTCCCCAAATGCTTAGGGACTTCAGGGTAGGTGCCCAGGGCTGTGTCTGTTGGCCTCGTCTACCCCGCCAGGTAGGTCCATGATGTGGTGCTGGCGGGCTCCATCCAGGAGAGTGCAGGACTACTGATGGCAGGGAGAAGGAAGGGTGCTTGTCCCAGAGCTTTGTGGGGTTTGCAGTAACCTTGTGACTAAGGTGGTGGCCTTTGGGAGCTTGGTCCTCTGCCCTGCCCTGCCTGTCCCACTGCTATGGCAGAGGTGTCCCCGTGGCCTCCTGTGTTCCAGGTCATCATGGACAATGCTGAGGCTGAAGCAAAAGCTGAGGAGCTCCACGGCCACCTTCACCAGGTATGGTGTCCCGACCTCACAAGGGAGGTGCCCAGAGTGACCACTACTGAGGAACTGAGCCCTATACCCCTGTGGAGGTCTGGGTGTGCATAAGGTCACAGGGCCTTATCTTAGCCTCTGGGTGGGAAGTCATACCTTTTACCGAGGAGGCTTGTTAGAATGCTGTGTCCCCAGCAGGGAAGACGATCCCGTCACTGTTTCATCCTGTAAAAACCCTGCACCCCCAGTCCCACCTTCCCTGTTCATGTCCAGGAGTTTGGGACGGTGGAGGTGTGGGTTTGAGGCTGTGGGGGTTGTGACAAGCCCTGATATATCTGCCTCAGAGTTGGAGGGTGGCCACCTTGGACCCACCAGCCCTTCCTACTCACAGGCAGGCTCTGTGATCATTCCCTTGTCCACCTGAGGGCTTGGGGCTGCCAGAGTCACAGGAAGGGCAGAGGTAGGCAGCTCCTTTCTGCCCCCACAGCCGGCTGCCCCGGAGCAAGCGGAGGGCCATGGAGGCACGGATGCAGTCGGAGGTGCTGACGCTCCTCAGCAACCTGGCTGACCTGGCCAATGCTGTGCACTGGCTGCCCCAGGGCATCCTGTGGGCTGGCCGCTTTCCCCCATGGCTGGTGGGCCTCATGGGCACCATCTCCTCCCTACTCAGCATCTACCAGGCAGCCCGGGCCAACGGCCAGGCTGAGGCTACCAGCCCCTGACATGGCCCAAGGAGCAGTGGACACAGCCAGATCCTGATGGAGGGCCCCTTCCCAGAGCAAGGCCGCAGGCCAGGGGAGCGTCGTTAACTGAGCAGTCCTGGTGCAAGCCCATGGGTGGGGAGGGAGGAGCGATTGGTATGGGGTCCCCCAAGCCCAGGCAGGGGCACAGTGGGAGAACTGTCTTTGTGGGAGCAGAAAGGGGAGGACCCCAGGACTACCGAGCTCCAGGAAGAGCTTGAAAAGGCCCTTGGGGGCTTCTGCAGAGCCTCTCAGTTGTCCACTGGCCAACTTCGTGTCCGAATAAAGGCAGGAGACACAAATCAGGCCTCGGGTAGGGGCCTTGGGGAAGCTGCAGTGAGGATCAAATATCCCTGGGGAGCTGGAATGAGAATGAATTAAATATCCTGGTGCTGGTGCTAGCCATGGCGTGAGATGATTTCATTGGTGGCTCCTGGCCCTCCTCTGACCTGGGCCCACATTGGCTGGCTCACTCACACAGGGGGACAGAGTTGCAGCTGGAAACCACACTTCCTCACCCACCCTCTGCAGCACCCTTGGCCTGCTGGTTTTTCCATCTCTGAGCAAGCGCTGCCCCCTCAAGGGCCATCTCCATCCCCTGCCAGGCTATGAGGGCCACACTGTCCTTCTGCCATAGGCAGTGCTCATCAGAGCCAAGGCATCTTACATTTCTGCCATATGTGCCTCCCACCATCCCTGCTGAGATCCATCAAGGACACTGTGAGCATTTTGTGGGGTGCAAGCTGGGTAAGGCCATGCATGTCTGTATCTCTGAAGAGTTTTGTGGCTCCGCACCCATTACAGAGGGCACGTGTGGCTGGGATGTGTTTGCTTCTCAGCTTGAAAGCAAGAATGATGTGTGAGATGCTGCTTGTGGACTCAGGCAGGTGTTGGTAGATGTTGCCTTGCCCCGGAAGACCCAAAGCCACGGGCTGAACTTCATACGACACCAACCATAGATTTGAAATAGGAATGTGGGGGTCACTCAAGTGGGGTGCACCCTGCCCTAACCACCTATGGGGTTCCTCTGCCAGACTCGTCAGTAGACCAGACTTAGTCTCCCACCCCAGCCTTTAGGAGGCTCCTTCCAGCTCCCAAGGGCACCAGTGAGCAGAGGTGGTAGGGTCCTGATTACCTACCTGGAGACAGAACCCACTAACACCTATAAGGCTGTCGGAGTGGCACCCCAATTGGTCGTGGGTACCAGGGAGAAAAAGCCAAATGAGACTTGATCCTGGACTAGGAAGGCCTTGAACACTGAACATGTGGGGTGGAGAGAAAAGTGAACTGATCCAGAAAATGAGGCTCATTATGGTGTTTTCTTTTTCCCCTCTGTGCTAGGGATGGCAAGTGTCCTACCACAGCCCTCAGTTTTTTTTTTTTTTCCCCAGTACTGGGTTTTAAACTCAAGGTCTGTATCTTGAGTCACTCCATCAGCTCTTTTTGGTGTGGGTTATTTTTGAGATAGGGTCTGGAGAAATTTTTGCCTGGGCTGGCTTCGAATCGTGATCCTCCTGATCTCTGCCTCCTGAGTACCAAGGATTACAGGCGTGAGCCACTGGTGCCTGGCCTTGTGGTTTTTAAAAGATTTTGTGTGTGTGTGTGTGCTAGGGATTGAACCCAGGGTCTTATGCATGCCAAGCACATGCTCTACCATTGAACTCGACCTCCAGCCCTTTAAAGTTTTACTGAAATACAGTTCACATGACATACAGCTTACCTGTTTTACATGTGCAGTTCATAAGAGTATATTCATAAGAGTTACACAACCATCACTGCAGCTGTCACCCACCACTGCCTTCTGTTCCCCAGGCTTGGTGACCACTGGCCTCTTCTGGTTCAGTGGGTCTCAACTTTTGCTGGGAGGGGAAAGGTCTCTTTTGTAACTCCCTTAATGACTATGGGCCTTCTTTGGAGAACATGAAGGCACATCCTGTTTTGTAGAACCCTCAGTCCTCTCTAGGGGCCTGTGGAGTCATGCTGAGGAAGGCTGGGAGCATCCTAGGGGAAAGGGCTTGGCTATGCAGATGCTTCAGGACAGCTGGGGTGGGGGTCACTTAGCAGGATCCGGACCAGGGAGGGGGACAGCCCAGGGCTCCTGACAGGCTGGCACCCCCGTTGTGGCCTAGGCTGGGTTGCAGCTTCCCAGCAGCGAGGACTGGCCAGGGCAGCACTGGTGTTTTCAGCTGGTTCCCACCTTCTGCACCTGCTCCATCTGCATGGTCCCATGTGCTCATAGCACCTGCCTACCCTTTGCCAGTTCCTAGTGTCCCCTGTAGCACACCCCCCCCCACCAAAAAAAAAAAAAAAACAAAGTTCACTCAGAGGTCCTCTTAGACACTTTTATTGCTAGAATCTGGTCTTAAGTTCTAGGGTGGTTCTGAAATATCTTGTGATGAGGACCCATCGTAATTGCTGGAAAAATAATTGTAGGTGGCTAAAGATCATGGTCACAATCGGCAAAGATGATGTGCACAGATCCCACAAACAGGATGCTGCTTGGCCACCAACTTGACAGATAGCACTGGGCTTTACCCAGGAGTGGCCTGGGTGCTGGTGAGAGGAGACACACCAGTGGCATCACCCTACCACGCGCCAAGCAGGACTGAGAACCCCTGGCTGCCTGGTGGGGAGGCACTGATTCCCATGGTATGGCCGAGCAGAAGCTCCTTGAAATTCTCCAAGTCCAAGGAATTGTGGCATCTGGGGGATGGGACCTGAGCATGTAGGCTCAGGGGCGCGTGGCTGGAAGGTCACCCAGTGCAGTGGTTCAGGAATGTTCTCATCATGACAGAGCAGGAAGTTAGAGTCAGCTTTTTTAAAGTGCTCCAATACATCTCAGTACAAAAATACAAAACACTGATTAGAAACATGGCACGGATGAGATCTGGTGTGGGGACATGCTCAGGACACAGGACAGCACTGCTGATGGAAAAGGACCAGGGTAGGAGTCGGGATGAGGATGGGACACCACACCGCCTGCTGTGCTCAGAAGTCACTAGGAACTGCCACTTTCAGCACCCTGTCACCCTCCTGAGCCTGTGGCACTGAGCAGGCACCCTGGCTGTGGGCGGGCTCACGTTAGAGGTTTCTGACAAGATTTCCTGTCCCCTGTGCCCACCTGTCCCTGAGCATAGGAATGTCCTTGCTCACTGGTTGGGGATCATAGGGTCAGCTCTGCAGGTTCATCGTAAGTATCGAGTCCCCACTGGGGCTCTTCAGTACTCTGGGCTCAGGAGAATGGCTTGGCCTTGGCCGGTGCCCACGTGCTCCTTTCTGGCAACAAGAACGACCAGCCTAGGCCCCAGTCCTGCTGCCAATGCTTTGGGAGGTGCATGGCCTGGCCTTACACTGGGCATTTAAGACCACCCCATACCCCTGTCCCAACTCCTCCCAGGGAAGCCACCCACAGGCTGCAACACGCCACAGCAAATCAGGTGCCACCAACACAGTCATCTGCCCACTCACTGGCAATGTTCTGGGCATTTCTTCCACTTGCCCTGGGAAAAGGCCCCACCACTCCAGCAGGCAGGACAGTGGTCCTGGGGGCTTCCTCCTAGCAGCCCTGGAACTGAGGACGTTCCGACCTGAGGAGCCTAGGGCTTGTCCCCTCTCCCCCCAGACAGGCCAAGTAGTAGGGAATGGCAGATGCCCTCAAGAAGCAGAATCTGGAAAATCTCCAAATCACAAGCAGCCCAGCCCCATTTGAGCTGAGCTGCCAAGCACGCCATGGGCGCTCTCTCTCCATCCACCCTGCTGTAGCCCTCTCTGCTCCTGCCCAGCACACTCACTGGCCAAGGTTCTCTGTGACCCTTGTGGGCCTCTGTTTTATAAGGGGATTCTGCCCAACTACGGACAGATGCAGCCGATGCCACCTCCCTTCTGGAGCCCCAACGACTTGACACTCTCCTGCTTCCTAGTGGCCATGGAGCCTGGCCTGGAGCCAGTGCTCTTGAGACTGAGGTCTGGCCTGTCTTCTGGCTCCCTGGGGAACCAGCTAGGAGTTCACCTCTCTCCTATCCAAAGGGGTGCTTCAGATTAAAACAGCTCCTTGGTTTAGCTTGGGTTCAACCTTCCATTCAAAACTTTGTTTTATGTACACATATGTAAAGAAGTTCAGGAAATTACCCAAGCATCACTGCTAATCCTACAAAAAGAGCCACAAGACCCAAAGCACCAACAGGCCAACCCTGGCTGGGTGGGCATCAGGGATGTGCTCGGGTAGGGGAGGGGGACAGCTAGGTAGGCGCAGTCACCCCATGGGATCCCCAGAGACACAGAGAGTAGGCAGGACAGAGAGAAGCCTGCTCCTGCAGCCTTGGCCCCCTCAGAAGAAGATGACGTCTTCCTTGCTGGCTTCATCCTTAGAGTTCAGTGGTGTGGCTGGCAGTGGCGAGGGGGATGGGGGCACGGGTGGGAAGGATGTGCCCCCAGCCTTGAGGGAGATGACCTCAGGGGTGATGTCAACCAGGGTGGGACTCAGGGCTGGGAAGCAGGGGTCTGGAAAAGAGAGGGGGCCGGGGGCATAGAGGGGGTATCAGAGGGGCTGCCAGGTGAGTCAGGCGGCCCCGCTGCCCGGCGGCTGGGCTCACCTGCGGCAGGTGCAGAGCCATGGCTGCCATGCAAGATGGGGCTCAGTGACCGGCGGTTCCGAGAGGTGTTCTCATCCTTGCCCAGAAGCTTGTTGAGAAGCAGCTGCTGCTTCAGGTCGAACGATGCTGGAAGAGGGAAGGTGCTTGGGCCTCGCTCAGGGCCACTTGGGAGCCTCCAGGGCTGCCAGGCCTCCCCACGTCCCACATTCCCACAGAGGCCCACAGACTCATAAGCTCTACTTGACAACATACCAAAACATCCCTGGTGTCAACCAGGGGCAGGGCAGGGCACCCAAGGGCAAGAGGCTGGTGCCTTGGGCCTCAGTGTCCCCCTCTGTCGAATGAGGACACTGGGTAGGATCCCAGCACCTGTCCTGTGTCCCAGCTGTGTAGTCCTAAGTGACTTCTTGTTTATGCCCTAGTCTGATGCTCCCTTGCCCCTCATCTCCCTTTAAGGTCTGAGGTGGGAAAAGGACTGTCATTTCAATTTTTGTTTCTGGGACAAAGGCCTCTATTCAGAGGGAAGGCTTAGTCTCGTAAGTTTCCCACGGTGCACCTCCCAGACCAAGGGGGAAAGGGGAACACTGGAGACTGTCTACCTCATGCAGAGGGCCCTGGGCTCTAGGGATGGGGCTGGCTCACCTGAGCTCTCCCAGCGCTGGGAGCCCCTGTTCTTGCCACCTTTGTCCTTGCCGCCCTTGGTGGAGGCAGCCAGCTTGGTGGGGATCTGCTGCTGAACAGCTGCCTGCCGCTGGATCTGGTTGGTGGTGCTGAGCAGCTGTATGGGAACCTCACTCTTGGCTGGACGGCTCTCAGCTGGAGCACTGTCCCGGCGAGCCACCTCAGGGTGTTCCATGTACTCAGGCCCTGAACTAGACAGCAGCATGCTCACACGGGTCCCCGGGGCTTTGGGCAGGGCCAAAGGCCCTTCCAGCCCTTCCCCATTGAAGCTGGGAGAGTGGCTTGGGGGCTGGGCCTGAAAGAGCGACAGAGGACATGTCCCAGTGTCCATTCTCCTTAGATGTGCAGAAAGAGGCCCACCAGGCTTGCCACTCCTGGGATGCCTTTGGGCTGGGACAGAAAGAACCAAGCAATGCCTGACACTGGTCTGAGATAAGCAGGTGTGACCACCCAGTTCCTCTTCCAGTTCTTAGCTGGGAGGGGCTAAGAACTTAACCATGGCACAGAGCCATGGTTAAGGCTGAAGTCAGTCATTGTCGGTCCCCAAAACACCCACATGAGCACTCAGTCATACATATGCTTACGCACACTCATACATGAACATAGTCACACACATCTGTAGCACCCCGCACATAAACCACTTGTTTTTGTTTGTTTGAAAGTCTCACTATGTAGCCTCAAACTCAAGATCCTCCTGTTTCAGCATTAGCTAGGATCACTGGCATGTGCCACCATGTCTGACTATAAACTACGTTTTTTAAAAAAGTTTCTAAGGTGTTGACTGTGTTTTATGCAGCACTGTGCTGGCACCTGCTTAACAGTGGTTCTGAGAGAAGTTCTACTTTGCAGCATTCGTCCCATTTCTGAGCTGTTAATGTGATCTCACTCTTAAACACACACACATGTACATGCAATGTCACCTGTTTACTTTTTCTTTTTTGGCGGTATGGGGGTTTTAACTTAGGGCCTTGAGCTTTCCAGGCAGGTGCTCTACCACCTGAGCCACACCCCCAGTATTTTTTTTGCTTTTCTTATTTTTTTGGATAGTGTCTCTCATTAATGTCCAGGGCCTGGCCTGGACCTCAAGCCTCCTACTTATGCTTCCTGCCTAGCTGGGATGACAGGCACACACCACCACATCCAGTTTTTTAACTGATTGAGATGGGGTCTCTGGAACTACTCTATCTCCCCACTGGCCTTAAACCTGATTGCCACCTCTCAAGTAGCTGGAATTATAGACATGAGCCACTGTGCCAGGCTCTGACTTGTTTTTTAAGATAGTGCACTGCTACCTTATTTTTGCCCAGAGTGGCCGCTTAACTCCTGGGTTCAAGTGATCCTGCTGCTTCAGCCTCCCAATCAGTTGGGATTATAGGCATCCATCACTGCATCCATTTTTTTTTTGACGTTGGGGATGGAAGCCAGGGTTTCATGAATGCTGCAGTGGAGCTGTGCCTCCCCCCTGGTTATTTTTTTATTTATTCTTACACAGCACACTCATGCTCTCTGACACTCTGCCTCACATGCAAATGCACATGTAGACCTCCACATCAGGCACACAAGCACTCATGAGCCCCTGGCTCACCTCTGCCAGTGCCTCGGGTGGCAGCGCCCCTGGAACCGTGTTCTGCTTCTTGAGCCTGCGCTGCAGATCTAGCCGGTCACGCTCGCGGTCCACAGCACGCATGGCCTCCCGCAGGCGCTCCAGGTCATGCTGGTAGGCCTGGCGTTGCTGTTCCAGCTCAGCGCGCTCCTGGTCCAGCCGCTCGCGCAGCTGCCGCGCCTCGCCCTCGCGCTCCTGCAGCCGGGCGCCGGCGCGCTCCAGTTCCTGCAGCTGGCGCTGGCGCTCGCGCTCCCAGCGCTGCTGTTCCTGCCGCAGCTGGCTCTGCAGCTTCTCCACGCCCGCCCGTTCCTCGCGCTGCTTCTCGAAGTTGCGCTGCCGCTCCTGCTCCAGCAGCAGGTTCCCCCGTGTCGACTGCAGCCGGAACTGCTTCTCCCGCTCCTGGATGGCAGCCCGCTGCATCTCCACGTAGCTGTCCTGCTGAGCGATGACAGCCTGCCGACAGTGCCGTGGACAGGGTCGGTGAGGGCCACACCCTCGCCCAGACCCAGCCAGCAAGGAAAGGGCAGGTGAGGCCAGTCCCTCCCTTATGCCCCTGTACCTGGAGGCTGAGGAGCAGCTGAGACAGTGTCTGGACCCGTTGGACAAGCTGTAGAGAGAAAGGCAGACAGACATACTCTGGGTTCTGCACACAAAGGTGCAAGGGGGGCATGCACACCAGTCCGGGGGAGATGGATGAGCAGCTACCTACCTCCGATTCCAGGATAGTGGGCACACGGGGGCCAGTCTCTGCACCCTGCATCTCCACCTGGGAAGACAACAGGGCCAAATCACAGAGCATCTGAGAACACACTCAAGGGTGCCAGGCCCACTTACTATTGACAAGACATGCCCTTGGCATGGGGAACAGAAAGGACCCTGGATGGGCCACAACTGGTGGGGGTTGGGGCGAGACACACAGGCCCAGTGGTCTCCCACTAATGTCCATCAGGGAGTCTAGAAAATGAGAGTGTGGGCAGCCTGGGAGGCAGTTGTCACAGATGCATGGTAAAGTAGGCTCAGATGTGAAGCTTGTGTGGCAGTTCCAGGCACAGAGGCCAATCCAAGCCTCAAAGCCAGTCTGAGACAGTTGGCCTTGGCCTCTGGGCCCAAACCTTGGTAAGGTCAGCAGGCCATGGGCCTTCCCAGTCAAAAGGGAGAGAAGAGCCAGCAAGATACCAGTTTCATCAAGTAGGTATTATCATACCTGTGCTGACTGATGGCCTGTGGCCCCAGTGTGGGGTTTTTGGCCTGTTGATGAAGCCATGGGCACTGCTCTGGACCTGGCCCTTCCCATGCCTCCCTCCAGGGGTACCTCCTGTTATTCTCAAAAGGACCAAAGTACAAAATCACCTGCCTGCACAGGAAGCTGGGCAGAGACACTATTAGTTCACCTTAAAACAGAATAGTACTCAAAGATGTCACCATGAGTCAAAGAAATGGCCCCAAGAGAAGCTGGTCACACTGGGAATGACAACTACAAAGGCTTGGACAGACTACCCAGTGAACTGATATTTCGGAAGCCACATACCGCCTGTGGTGACTCCTTGCATCCCACTGGGGTGTCACTGTCACCTTGCTTTGAGTCTGGGCTGCTGACAGGACCCCGCCAGTCTTGAGGCCTGGGGTCGTTGCTGTAGACCTTCTTCTTAAAACTGCCATCTGGGAACCCCAAGTTAGGTGTGTGAGGACATTGTGGATGTGGAACCTTCCTCCTCTAATCCCAGCTCCCACCCAAGTAGGAAATCCAGGCCGAGCCACTGTCTGCTGGCCTTTGGCAAGGTGGTGACTATTCTAGCACAGTGACCAGTGGAGACACAGGCTGTGCTGAGTGCTGCTGTCACAACACTGTGTTGTCCCACAACACCCGGAAGGCTCCAGAATGTTCTAAGAAATGACACACCCTCAGAGGACACTCAGATCTGCTGCTAATGAGCGTCCCAAGCCACAGCCCCAGAGGTGAGTGACATACTTACTCTTGTTGGGGCTGCCCGAGCTGTCATAACCCCCAAAGGTCTCAGCCCTCCGGGGAAGGCCCACAGGGCTGCTGCCTTCTTCTGCCTGGCTGTTGGTGCTGCCCAGCCGCCTGCAGATCAGGCTCTGGATGCCTTCAACTATGGGAGGACATAGGAGGAACAAGTCACCCTTCAGAGGCATGCCGGGGGGCAGTGGGCAGCCAAGACCTGAGGGCCAAGGAGCTCACGTGGCAGTGACCATCCTCACTTCAAGGTGTCTGGCATGGAATTCTAACCCCCAGTTTCTCTGTTCTCCCTCACAGCTGGTATTACAACCAGGACCTGTCAACCCATGTCTAAGGGCTAGGAAATGCCCATGAGGAGGGGCTGTGTGGGCTCCTCATGCCCCCCTTCCCTCCCCTCCGGCCCAGCCAGCTGCTGCGTCTAGGCCCCAGGCCAGGGGTTGGGTATAAGACTGACAAGGTCCTATTAGTCTAGTAGCAAACATGAACATGGAACTTGTGAAGGAAGGTGGCCCTTATGGGGAGGGGCGGCCCACATATGGCCCTTTAGGGCCAAAAGTCTTTGGCTAGGTGAAGAGGTGGGAAGAAGAACATCCCAGGCCCAGGTGCAGGGTATGCAAATATCCTTGGGGGCAAGAACTATGCCCAAAGGAGAAACAGGTGGAAAGACAGTGTAGGTCACGGCTGGTGGTGTCTCATTTGCTATTGAAAAGATTGGACTGAGTACTGGCTGCCCACCCCATTGGTAGCATGGGGCCCAGCAGCTGTGTCAGGGCTTCTAGGAGTTCCAGTGGGTCTGAGAGCTCCCCATAGCTGGCCCGGATACCAGGCTAGCAGAAGGGCCTCAGCACGGCTGGGGCACAACAGGCATGGAGATAGCAGGGTACTGCTGACCAGGGGCCTCCACCATGGCTGCTAATGTTCAGCAGCTCCCTAGAGCAAGGACTGGGGTTCCTGGCCCAGGGAGGGCTGCTGGGCACTGGAAGTCCCCTGAAATGGCCCACTGAGTGTGCATGTGTGTTTTCCTGGGGACATCATCAGGCACCTACTTCAGAAAGAAGGGGGAACTGTGCCAGTCAACTTTAGATCCCTGGGGTCAACGATGACATGTGGGGAGTATTTGTTGACTGGGAGAGAAAGTGCATTAGCTCAGAGGTGAACACTTGCCTAGCATGCATAAGGCCCTGGTTCCAGATGCGGTATCACAAAAGGAAAAAGAAAGCAAAAGTTATAGTAAGCCTGCAGTGAGGGACCAGGCTGAATCATGTCTAAGGACCGTCAGTCCAGCTCATGTAGGTGGGGGTCAGTGCTGTCTCTGAGCCCTACCAGACCTGCCCTGGTGGCATATGGCCCTGGCCCAGAAGCCCACCCAGGCAGGATACCACGCAGCAGGCGTAGGCACCAACTTACTCTCACTCATGGCCGACCTGAGGATCTGCTCCCCATGCAGGGTCTCCGAGGGGTCACCCCCGCGGAAGAGGCCTCTGGGCTGGGAGGAGTCCTCAAACCCGCTCATCTCAGCCATCTCCAGGTAGATCTGCTGCTTCTCCAGGAGGCTCTGGGCGATCAGCTGGTCTTTCAGGCTCAGTCGCTCTGCCAAAAGATGTGGAGGTGGTTGTCAGCCTGGCCAGCCTTCCCTGGGATCCAGTGCCCATGGGAGCTGGCATCAGGCTGTGAGGATGGGGCGCTCTTGCTCACCTCGAGCCCCATGAGGGCAACTCCCTGTCCTGAGGCAGGCCATTCCTTCCCTCCAACATTCCCATGAAGTGAGGTAGTGGTCCTGTCCTCCGATCGTCCCTCCCATCCCCATTATGGATACCAAACACTGTCAGTATGGGTAAGAACAGCAACGGGCCCATTTATAAGGCTGGGACTCAGAAGACTGAGATTTTTATGGGTACTGGTGGCCCACATCTATAATCTTAGTTACTCAAAGAAGACTGAGATTGTTAAACTCAAAAGTCTTCCTTCAGGCCCTTGGGTCGAGGTTTTCACCACTGATTTTTATTTATTTTTTTCCCTCTGGTACTGGCGATGGTACCCAGAACCTTGCACCTGCTAGACAAGAGCTCTACCACTGAGCCACACCTTCAGTGCAGTGTTACTTAATTTAAAATTAGATAATGTAGTTAGTAAACAGAAGGGACTTGCTCAAGACAACAAGGCATTAAATGAAACTGCTCTTGGCAATGACCACACTGAACTCTCACAGCGATCTGTTAAAAATGGGAAAGAGAATGTAGAAATACAACGTGGTTCATTCTCACAACGGAGTATCATTCAGCCATGAAAAGGAATGAGGCTCTGACACACGGTAGGGCATGGAAGGACCTTGAGGATGTTATGTGCAGTGAGAGAACCAGACACAAAAGGCCACACAGTGTGTGACCCCATTGATAGAAAATGTCTAGAACAGGTGAATCTAGAGACAGAAGGTACACTCATGGGTGCCAGGGGCTGGGGAGGGGACAGGCTGACTGCTCATGGGGATTGTTTTGTTTTGTGTTTTTAGGGTGATGAAAACACTCTGATGTGATGGCTGCATAATTATGAATACATTAAAAGCCACAGAAATGGGTGAACTATGTGGTATGTGAATTACACCTTAATAAAGTGGTTAAAAAATGAACAGGGAGAAGGAAGCCAGGGCTCAGGGAGGCCCTGGTCACAAAGCCAGGCTCTCTGGATCTGACTGGCCCTAGGAGGCGGCTGTGGGGACCTGTGATATTACAGAGTCCCCATGGGACTCCTCTGTAGTGACATCTACATGGAACTCCTGCCTGAATGAAGAGCAGGAGGGGTGGAAGATGGGGAGGGGGAGCATATGTAGCTGAACTGCCAGGTGTGGAAGGGGCTATCAGGCCCAGCGGTCCACTTGCTCCCTTTCCACACCCCTACAGGCCATGCAGTATCCAGAACACCACTACCTTGTAACAGCTCACGGCTGGTCACTGGGTGGTGATTCCCTCCCTGCTAGCCCCAATGGGACAGAATAGAGATGCCACTGAGAGGCTGGGGACCGCATGAGGGACCTGCTCCCTTACCTTGGAAGTCCCTGAGTCTCATGGCACGGGCCTCAGTCGCCTTTCTCTCCTCCTCAGCCTCGCTGAAGGGCCCCTCCTCCTCGTCAGGACAGCTGTGGGAGACGAGACAGGTGGCATTACTGCCTCCCTTGCTGACAGGTGGCATTACTGCCTCCCTTGCTGGCTGGCCTCAGACACTGACCCTGGCTCTGCAGACCAAGCTGCCAAGAGCATCTCTGATTTTGTGAGAGATTTAGCTTAGAGGAAAAGGAGAAATTGAGAAGAGAAAGAGAGCCACCAACATGTATCTTGCCTCAAAGCCCCAGGAGATAATTAGGTAAATATTTTATTTTATTTGTTTTGTTTTTGAGACAGGGTCTCAATATGTAGCTCGGGCTGGCCCTGAATTTAGATCCTCCTGCCTCAGCCTCCCAAGTGCTGGGATTACAGGTGTGTGCTACCATGCTTGGCTTTGGGCACAGGTCTTAAAAGTGTCTGGCTACAATGTGGAGGAGGCAACCACAACTTGCTTGCTAGGGACCACCAAGAGCAGGAGGCTATGAGCTCCTCAGAGCTGAAGCTACTGAGCATAGAGGGAGCTCGGGGTAGGCCAGGGAGTGGGAAGCCTCCAGGCACTGAGAGAAGGACCAGGAGGCCAGCTGGGATTGCGTGCCAGTCTTCCCCTTGCCTGTCTGTCAGGCACATTCCAAGTCAGGCAGGAAGGAGCAAACATGGGGTTGGGGCTCTGAGGGTGCTTGGCCTGAGGAAAGAGGACAGGACACCACAACATGCTATACTGGGTTTGGCTTCAGACTGAGGGGGCAGGCCCGTCATGACTGCTCTAGTGGCCCATGAATGCAGAAAGGTCCAGGTTAGTTCTGCCTGGTCCATTTATGCCCCCTGGCCACAGACATCCAGGCCTTTTAAGCATTTGACAGGCTGGGCTATTATCAGAAGGGGCAGGAATGGCACCATCTGTCCATTTTTTGAGAAGTGAGTGGACAGAAAACCAAGGTGGGATGAGAGAGAAGAAAAGCAAGGCATCTCTCAGGGAGCTCAAGGTTGTTGGGCAGTCTGCAAAAAGAGCACACACACTGGGGTGGGGCACCTGCTTTCTCACCTCTCCACAGCTCTCCGGATGTTGACCATCCAGGTGTTCCTGTCCTCCTTGGAGCTGGTGTGGATCTCATACATCTCAGGCCCTTGCAGGGAAGCGCTGATTAGAAACATGGCCTTCTCCTCATTGGCCACTTCCCTCACGATGAGCTTTTGCAAAGAGATGACGGGTGGCTTCGAGTCCTGCATGGGTAGAAGGCAGTGGGGAGGTCACCTGCTGCCTGTTGCATGAAACAGCACAGGGACCACAAATCTCAAGGATGGGGGAGAAACTCACGAGCCCCCATTTCTTTGTAAATAATTCAAGCAGAAATATTTTGCAAACTGGGAGAAAAAAAGACTATTATAATGATATCCTAGTATCCTTTTTTTTTTTTTGCTGTTGTTTTGTCTTTTAGAGACACAGTCTTGCTATGTAGCCCAAGCTGGCCTCAAACTTGCAATTCAGACCCCATGCTGAGATGACGGGTGTCCATCACCATGACTGGCTCCTACTATCCTTTAAATGTGTCAATTTAATGACTAATTTTATTTTTAAGATGGGGTCTTGCTATATTGCCCAGTCTGGTCCTGAACTCCTGGGCTTAAGTGATTCTCTTGCCTTAACCTTCCAAGTAGCTGGGACCACAGGTGCAGAGGCAATTAAAAACAAATAATAATCAGCAATGCATGTACATTTTATAAAACTCAAAATTACAACAGTCCATAATATATAACAATGACCAAAAAAAAAAAAATCCTCCTATGGTCCCTAGACCTCTAGTCACCCACAGCCAACCAGTATTCCCAGTCCGATATTTGGTCAAGTGAGACTGCTACAATAGACAAGGAAAAGGTACATCTATGAGCTGAGTTGTGTCCTCAGCAACCCCCCCCCCTTTTAATATGCTTAAGTCCTAACCTCAGCATGTGACAGCATTTGGAGACAGGGCCTTTAAAGAAATCATCAAGTTAAATGAGTCTTTCTGCAGGATGGGTGTCCTTATAAGAGAAGATTAGGACATAGAAGTGTACAGAGGCACGGCTGTGTGAAGACACACAGAGAAGACACTTGTCTACAAGCCAAGAAGAGAGGCCTCAGAAGAACCTGCCTTGCTGGTATCTTCCTTGATCTTGGACTTCCAGCCTCCAGAGCTGTGAGACAGGAAATTTCTGCAGTGTGAGCCACTGCAGAAATTTCCTGCAGTGTGGCGTATTACTCACAGCAGCCCTAGAAAACTCAGACATCTCTTATTCAGGACCTGGGGACAGAGAGTGCCTGAGTGTTCCTTGGTGGCTTCTAGTCAAATCTATTAATTTCTCTAAGTCATGGCTCCCCACTTTCTCTCACACTTCCTTCCTGTCCATCACAAAATTCTTTTGGCATGACCTTCAAAATACAGCCAGTAACATGGGATGACACAGACATTCAAAGCAGCTCTATTTGTAAATGCCCCAAACTGCAAAACAACACAGGTGCCCATTAACAAGAGAATGGATTAATAAAGACTGCTCACAGTGATGTCCCAACAACAGAGGACAGTCAACAGACATACAGGATGCTATGAAACAGAAGAGCAAGCAAGGAGCCATCAAATACCATGCTGCAGAATAAGACATCCCGGGAGGGGAAAGTTCAAAATATGTAGAAGGAATATAAAAGCAGGTTGTTTTTTTTTTCCCAGCTTAAAAATTTTTTTTTAAAAATTTTATTGTTTTTACATTTACTCACATGTGTATACATTGTTTGGGCCACCTCCCCTCCGCCCCGAAAAAAAAAAGGTTTTAAAATATATGGATTTGATCATTGGAGGACCTGGGTCCACACAGTGTAACTCATGGTGTATCTTCCCATGGGGGCTTGCTTTCTCTGTCTTGTCAAAGTAGCCCCCCAGCTGCCTTCTTTGGGGAACCACCTCACAAAGTCCCAGCAAGTCAGACTCTTTATTCTTTATGCTGGATACGTACCACGGAAGCAAAGACGTATTTCTGATCTTTTTCTTGCAGCAGCAAAAGCACATCAGTCAACAGGACAGCAAGGACATCTGAAGAGACAGCACACAAGGAAAAGACTCAGGCCACCCGTCCAGTGGATCTTGCTGGGCAGCATGGCAGTTGCCCAGTCCCAGGAGGGCTTCAGGCATCTTCTTCTGCCTGACCCTCATTTTCTAATTCACAGTTCCCCATTATGTTCCTGAGTTCAACATTTAGCATCAATGAATGCTAAGAGTTCCCTCTTAAGATGTCCCTTCACTGGCTGCAGCTCAATACAATCAGAGCAAAAGCCAGGGCTCCTGTCCTGCGTGCACGCCACAAGGTTCTCTTTTTTGTTGTAATGGTAGGCGCTTTACTGCTTAAGCCACACCACCAGTCCATTTTGTTCTAATTATATTGGAGATGGGAATCTCATGAACTATTTGCCCAGGCTGGCCTCAAACCACGACCCTCCTGATCTCAGCCTCCCAAGTAGCTAGGATTACAGGTGTGAGCCACCAGTGTCTGGCAAAGAAGCCTTGTCTAGACAAGATATCCTTCCTCCATCTAATTCTCTCTCATTGCAGCCTGCTGATTCCTTTAAAGCATTTACCACACTTTTAACTTTTTTGTATATGTGTGTGTTTACTAGTTTCTCTTTCTGCCCTACTGACTGAAGCCCAGGATGGCAGGTCTTGCTTGTTTCGGTGTGTTCTTGTCTAGCTTGGTGCCAATCCAAGATGGTGCCCACCAATCGAACATGGCACCCATTAGAGGTGCCATGGCTTTACCTTTCAAGCGTCCTGATGTGGTCTTCCAGCACAGTGTGCCCTCCAGGTGGAGCTGCCGCTGCAGCATGTCCTCCTTCCGGAAGGTGAGCCCATTCTTGAGTTTGCTGGAGGACTTCAAGTCCATCTTCCCAGCAATCTCCCTGAGGCGCTGGCCCTTCTCACATTCGCTGACCTTGGCGTCCACTTGTGAGATGATATCTTTGATGAGATTCAAGGCCTGGGTCAGGTCTTCGTAGTCCTCAGTGCCAGCTGTTGTGCAACACAGCAGAGTTAGTGTCTTTCTTGGCCCACACTAATAACAGAAGTGGATTCACCATGTATGGGTGGGTTGGGATCTGTGAAGTGCATTCTGTGGGGCCACTGCTCAGGGACTCTTGAGAATGATGTCCCACCTACATAATTCCTGGGATGGAAATGGTTCAACAAAATAAATGTAATGGCCCAGAGTTTGGTACCTAAGTAGAACTTCTATTGAATATGGAAGTTCAAGTGCAATTCAAATGACAAAAACTGCCCCACACAGCTCCTCCAGCCATTTGTTGGCACACAGACTCCCTTTAAGTCCTCTAGTTCTTCATAAAAGACTCATTCCATCTCCTGTCATGACCTAGAGTAGGCTCTTCCCACTTCAAGGACATGGTAGGGGAACTTGCTCATTCTCCCATGGCCCGAATCCATGGGAGATGTGACAGGTGTGGTCATGATGCCTGGCCCCCAAGAACTCCTGGGCAGTCTATATGACCTTTCTTTCTGCCCTCTGTGGCTCCAGGCACATCCTTCTCTTGCCCTTGGTCATGTAACACAAAGGTCTCTATGGGCATTTCTGGATAAGCCAGAATGACCTTATAAATCACCTGTATGTCCAGGTCACAGATAGTGCCTCAGGACCTGCACTGGCTCAGCCTATGCTAGGGGGAGGATGTCACGCTGAGCAGAAGAGATCAGCCTCTGACCTCAACTGCTGACTGCCCTATCTTTCTTGTGTAGGAAACCCCAGCACTTTGCATCGTGGATTCCCAGGGGAATTTAACCATTCCATTGCTGAAATATGGAGCAAGTGGGCCAGACACCTGTCCGTGGCAGCCCTGATGGGTGAAGCAGTGGGGAGTGCGTGCCTACCTTCTGTGTTCTGAATGATGCGCTCCACCAGCACGGGGTATTTGGTTATGCGCTGAGTAACCAGAAGAATACACTCCTGCACACCAAGCCGCCTCACGATGGAGAAGTTGCCGAGTTTCTATGAAATGGGACACAAACCACTGTGTTAACATCTTATCTCCTGCTCAGTCAGTTAACCATCAGTTTCCAAGGCCTGGGGCTCTTTCCTTTTCAGCTTTCCAGGAACCTTTCCTCTGCTGCTTTGTTGGGGACATACACTGGATATCTAAATATATAGAAAGGCCAAACAAGCAAACATGGCCTCTCCTTTGCACCTCCAAGACCTGTTAAAGAGAAAGGGAAAGCCAGTAATCCCAGCACTTGGGAGGTGAGAGGATTGGGAGTTTGAGACCAACCTGATCTATACGCAAGACCCTGACTTGAAAATCCCAAGTCAAAAAGCTCACGTGTGTGTAAACGAAGATCCTGATCCTGGCTGACTTGTCTTTCCAGAACCCTCTGGAACTAGACCGTTCCAGACTGGCTCCCTGCTGGCCTGTGATGCACACACACCTCTGGCTGAGAATCAATGAAGCGGCCACTTGAACTCACTTCCTGGCGGGGCCAAAAACGAGCTTCCTGAGTGCTGCAGAGCATACCACACATTCTGTGGGCTGCTCCCACGGCTCTTGGCGCATTTTAGGAATGCCAGCAATTGCCAAGAGCTCCTTCTTTACAGCACCAGAGCATCACTGAGGGGTTTGTGAGTCTGTGGATGCAGGTTTCATGACAAACCCCTTCACTACTGAACTGACTGCACTTTCTAGGTGTTTCTAGCTCATGCTGTAGCTCATTCTGCTATTGCCAGGTAAATTTTGGCCTGAAAGCAACTCTTTACCTTCCTTTCTTTCTTTTCCTTTTCTTTTTTGTATTTGAGACAGGGTCTTGCTATGTAGCCCAGGTTGGCTTTTAACTTTTTTTTGGTGACACTGGGGTTTGAACTCAGGGATTCAAGTTTGCAAAGCAGGCACTCTTACCACTTGAGCCATACCTCCAGTCCATTTTGCTCTGGTTATTTTGGAGATAGGGTCTCATGAACTATTTGCCTGGGCTGACCTCGAACCTCTATCCTCCTGATATCAGCCTCCCAAGAAGCTAGGATTACAGGCACAAGCCACCAGCATCCAGCTGGTCTTGAACTCTTGCTCCTCCTACATGCACCACCATACCCCCCAGCTAAATCCCTTCCTTTCACACCCATTTACTGTGATAATCAGGGAACTTTTTTTTTTTTTTCTGAGATGGTAGGGATTTCCTCTTTGTCTTCCAACTTGGCCTTAAATCTTCAGCTCAGGCAGTCCTCCCACCACAGCTTCCTGAGAGGCTGGGACTGTAGATGTGCATTGCTGCATGGGACAAAATTTAAATACATGTCATTCTTAACTTCAGACCACTACTTGTTGAAAGCCAAAGTCCTTGGGGCACAGGAAGCAGCCTGTAAAGCTGATGTAGAGTTTGGAATCCAGTGACCTAGGGCTGCTGAAAAGGCAATTGCTGATGGAACTCAGTGACTTTACTTAAGTGTTGCTTCTGGGATGCAAGAGGTGGGGTCTGGCTTGGGCTGACTGTGGCTAAAGGGAGGGGTTTTGGTTCTGGGCTTCATGTGCCTGCCCACTCTCAAGCAGAGGAGGCAAGTGGGTCATCTCCTAGGGGACAAATGGGGACCACAAGGGGAAGAGATGTGCAGTTCCACACGCCTCACTGGTGCCTCTACAGGCAGAATGGGGTGGTTGGGTGGTTCCCAGGGTGGGATGGTCTCTGCAAAGGACCCTTATGGTTGGGTTTAGGGGCACACACATGTAATCCTAACATTTGGAAGGCTGAGGCAGGAGTATCTTGCATCTCAGGCCAGCTTGGGCTACATACTGAGACTATCTCAGAAAAGAAAGAAAGATTCCACACTGGGGTCCTGCAGAGCTGTCTCAGGCAGCCCTGAGGTGGCAAGAAACAGATCCCTGGATATGCTTTGTTTTATGTTTTAGAGTTCTAAGTGAGATTTCTCTGAAATGTTCTGAATGGGTTTATAGTTAAAAAACAAAATCAGACTGTAAACATTCTTGCTTTAGAACATCTTACAATTCCCAAATCCCAAGTTGCTATGGTTCTGTGGAAAAAGCAAAGGGTGAAGAAAAAATTTTAATTAAAAAAAAATTTTTTTTTACCTTGATCAAGTTTTGAAATTTCTTGTTCTGCTGCAGTAATAACTTATAATGACTGACTGCTTCATTGTGGCCACTACAAAACACACCGTATTTTTCTTTCATTCTCTCCCCACTTTCACCTGAAAACTGATATGAAAAAGGACGGAAATGTTATATAAATGAAACATGAAAACAACTGCTTGTGTATATTTCATCTAGTTCATCTGACTGTGCTAAAATAAATACTGAATGTCCTTGAATTTCACTTTCTAACATCCTCAACCAGGAACATGCTTCGGTACAGGGCCTCTAAAGGTGCCATTAGGTCAAAAGAGAGAACTTTGTGCTTTGGGGCTTTGCGCATTGCACAAGCTTCCTGAGATGGAAGAAGAAAAAATATTAATAAGCTTAGGCCATAGAATGTTAGAAAAAAGAAAAAGCTGAAGAGGTATTCTTTTAATTCTAATTTTACATTTCTTTTCTTTGAGGTGCTGGGAATGGAACCCAGGGCCTTGTACATATCAGGTAGATGCTCTACCATTGGGATGCACCCTCAGCCTTTTAATTAATCCTAATTAATTAACCTAGGGTACTTTGGACAAGCAGTGTGAGGTCAGATGAGGAGTGCTACTCCCTTCTTCCTTCCTTGTCTTGGGCTTAGAAGTGAGCATTTGAACTCAAGAGCCCTATTGTGGATAGCTCTGATCCAGAAGTACATTTCCAACCACCAAAACCAACAGTTGAAACCCCAAAATAAAAACCAAACAAAAGCACAGAAGACAACTGTGAACAAGTGTTGGGACAGGTACATTCAGGTGTCTGTGTCTCTAGGACACGAGCTGCATGCTGGGACAGGCCCAGGACTAGTGTTCACTGGAGGTAGTGGGCACATGATCAACTGGAGCCAAGATCTTTTCATTATTGGAAGGAACAGAGACAGTGTGGAGGCTTGTATGGCTCCATCCCAGTCCTAGCCACGCTTACCTGCTGTACTAGGAGGTCCCCGATTTTCTGGATGACGTAATTCCGCTCATTGCCCTCCTCCAGGGCTTCTTGGCGGCGCTCCTTGAGCCGAGCCAGGAAGTGGCTGTGCACCTCCAGCAGGTCATCAGCACATGGGAAGAGACGGCTGACGGCCTTGCTGCTGAACTGTAGCTCTTCCTGCAGGGCCCTGGAGTATACCTTCAGCATGATCTTCAGTGTACGCACGTGGTGTGCCTCTGTCTGCATTAGCTCTGCAGGGACACAGATGGACAGCAGGACTTACCCACGCCGGCTCCACAGCCCCACCGGACACTCAGGGTGCTGTCTGTCTGTCCTAGCTTAGCTGGCCTCTGCAAGCTCTCCACCTAAGTCCTTACCCAAGGCCTTGTGCCTTTTCTCTCTCTCTTTTTCTTTTTTTCAATTGCACTGGAGTTTGAACTCAAGACCTCAAGCTTCCTAGGCAGGCCCTCTACTACTTGAGCCACTCCACCAGCCCTCAGTTTTTCTTTTCTAACAGACAGGGTCTTGCTATGTTGCCCAGGCTGGCTTTGAACTCTTCCTGGACTCAAACAAGCCTACCACACCTGGCATTGTGGCTTTTCTTCTTCTTTCCTTCTCTCCTTCCTACCTTCCTTCTTCCTTTTTTTGACAGAGTTTCACTATGTAATCTAGGCTGGCCTAAAACCTTCTATCCTCCTCCCCCAGGCTCCTAAGTGTTTGGATTACAGACATGAGCCACCCCATCTGGTCCCCTTTTGGCCTTTCTTATTGCCAGGCCTCTCATCCTCCCCAGCCCAGTGTTGTACAAGTCCTAGGCCAGAAAAGCAGCAAAGAGAGGACTTAGGATATGTGATGGGATCTCAACATCACAGGAGGGTTTTGTGTTTGAAGTCAACGGAAGGTATTTCAAAGCCATTTCAGCAAAAGTACTGAGGACCATGAGCCTGTGGGTGTGAAATGCCCACAGCTGTGCATGTCTATGATCAGACACAAATTGCAACCGATTGGATATCAGTCCCGTGTCGTCTCCTACCGCCCAATTCATGTGTTGAAACCTAAACTTCAAGGTGATGGCCTTAGGAGGTGGGACCTTTGGGAGGTGATTAGGTCATGAGAGTGGAGCCCTCATGAATGGGATTAGTGTCCTTATAATAAAGAACCCAGTGAGTTCTCCTGTCCCTTCCACAATTCGAGGACACAGTGAGATGGTACCATCTATGAACCAGGAAGTGGGCCTGCACCAGACCCCAGATATGCTGGCACTCTGATCTTGGACTTCTGGTCTCTAGAATCCACTGAGCAACAACAAATTCTGTTGTTTACAAGTCACCCTGTAATATTCTGTTGGAGAAGCCCAGATGGACTGAGACAGACCTGGGCACCTGATCAGGCTCATCCTCTGGGACAAGTACTAATGAAGTCCTTCCCTAATCATCTCTTCCCTGGCCCAGAAGGCAAAGCTGCCTGGGACAGGGGAGCAGGCAGGGTTGGTGACAGGGTCACAGGGGAGGTTAGCCACGGAGCCCAGATTCCCAGATGAATTAGGGAAAGGAAAAAAGACAGAAGATGTAAGAGGAGGGCTGGCATAGTGGCACAGGGTGCTGGACACCTTACCATACAGGACATCTTGTCTTTTCACCACTTCCTTCTTTTGTTTCTTGGCATACGCCAAGTCCACTGCAAGGCTCCAGGACTCAGCCTCAAACTCGTGGGCATCTGATTCGATCTCGCTCCTCAGTGAGGCGGTATAGGGATCTGAGGGAAAGACAAGGGGTTCCTGGTGGGGGCCTGGAGCCTGGTTGGCTCCCAGCTACCATGTCCCTTTGTCTTTCCCATGGACACAATGAAGCAGGCCCCCGCACTTCCCAGTACTGACAGGGACCATGTGCTATTCTTAGGAGACTGAGAAAACCATACCTTCTAGGAAAACGGACTCGGCATTGGAGGATGTAAATGATGGACAGTCATCAGCTGCTTGCTTAAATTTTAAAAACACAGAGTCGGCTTCATCCATCTCTCCTGTGACTGGTCTAAGTGGAAACGATCAAGACAATTATTTCAAAAGACTGAGTAAAACACGTACCTGCATACACCCAATCTATGAAGGCAAGTGAGATTGTGACTCCCTCTGATTAGATATGATTGGGGAACTTTCTAGATTTCAGTAGAAACTTTGAACTTTGTTACAGGTCATTTTTAAAAATTAGGAGAGACTATTGGTGGTAGAGAGGGTGAATTCTAATATGATATATTTGATACAGTGTAAGAACCTTTGCAAATGCTCCATATACCCCCACCCAGCACAATAATAAAAAGAAAAAAAAAATTAAAAAAAAAAGAGACTATTGGAATGGGGGTGTAGCTCAGTGGTACAGTACTTGCCTAGCATGTGCCAGGCTCTGGGCTCTATACCTAGCACTGCAAAAAAAATTTTTTTAAATCAAAACAAAATTAGGAGACTGTCAATGTAGCACCAGGACTTCTTCCTTTACTACTAACTGTAATGTCGAGGTCTGTCATATGGGAACATGAATGGTGGGCTTCCTTGACTGACCACTGGAGCCCACTGGAGCCCACGGAATTTCTTCTACAGGAAGTACAGCTTCATGGTCAAAAGCGAGAGGAATGGCTTTTCATAGAGGAAAAAGACATTCAGGTCCTTTCGCCAACAACTCATGCAACAGTCACTGTGAATGCATTAGGTTTCAGCATTACCCAATGTTACTGAGTGCAATATGGAGACCATCTTCACCATCCCATAAAGCTAAGCAAGGCACACATACCAGGGTTCGAGTCTCCAAGCACCACCTTGGGGACAAAAAGGAGCCCTATCCAGGGAGGGCCAAGTATATTAAGCCAAATACACCCTGGGGTGCAACATTTTCAAAAAAAAAAAAAGAAAGAGAGAGAGAGAGAGAGAGAGAGAGAGAGAGAGAGAGAGAGAGAGAGAGAGAGAGAGAAAGGAAAGAAAGAAAGAGAAAAGAAAAGAAAGAAAGAAAGAAAAAAGGTATCCCTGAGAGCGAGTGTTAATGGGAATTTCATCCAGAGGAGTGGTAGTGCAGACCCACACAATGGCCCTCTCCTTCAGAGAGGCCATTGATCAGTGCCACCCACCGCTCTGCTTCCCGGCTTACCCGAGTCGCGCCCCAGTTCCGGCCTGGCTCGGTGTTGGCTGGGGACCCCCTTTCTGAGAGACCGTCATGCCGACATTCCTGGCAGGGGCCGGGCTGCCATCGGACAGGAGGGTGGTCCTCGGGTGCTCCTTCAGCGAGGCTGCTACAGAGGCAAACACAGAGTTGCTGGTAAGAAAGTGGGCAGGGTAGTGGAGGTCGCTTGTGCGGAAGCCCCGCTCCGACTGGGGCCTCAGAACCGACAGGATCTTGGAAGTCAACAGCTCGTTATCCAGGAAGACGTTCTCGTTCCATTTCCTGGGGAAAGAGCCATAAAAAGACAGCTCGGGGCGGCCAGGGAGCGCCCCATGCCTGTCGCCACCCTTAGAATGCGTGTTGCCCATGTTGGCGCTTGGGGCTCCGGGACCCGGCGCCGTGCCAGACTGGGCTGCAGTTTTTATGCCTCGGTGGGATCCTTCTAGAAAATAAAACTGCGTCTTCCCTTGCTGTATTGGCTGGAGCAGTGGGGCTGGAGTGGAGGAAATTGGTCCCCACTGTGACCGTTCAGTGTGGAAATCACACAGTATTTTCTTTGGTAAAACAAAACAAACCAAAAATTAAAAAAAAAAATCCCTTCTACATTCTCCTTGCTCTTTGCAGGGGGTGCAAAGCAGAGAGCAGTTTGTGCTCCCTGTAAATAACCTAGATGGTGCGGTGGGGAGCCGTACGCTTGGCGTGCTTCATGCGGACGGCACTTTGCACAATGATAATTAACCAAGATTGGATGTCAGGATGCGCTAAGACAGGACCACAAGGCTCTGCTCACCAGCACTGAAGACAGAACTCAACCATCAAACTACACCAGGGGCTCTGATGTTCTTCTACGGAGCAATTATAAACCAGCCCGACATGTCATGGGGTTCCAAACCTGCTCATTTATTTAAGGGTTTGGATTGGAGGATACATGTATCCATTGGCCAAAATGTTTCCAACAGGCAAGAAAAATGTAACTCTCTCTCTCTCTCTCTTTTTTTTTTTTTTTTTTTGGTGGCAGGTATGCTAGGCAAGCACTCACCACTACCACCCAGCTGCACACCACGCCCTAATGACCAACTCTTCAGGAAAGCTCAGCTATCTTCATTAGGCTGATTTTTCCCCTCACTGAAGTTCATTCTCATTGAGACACACTGCCGTACTAATGTATTCTCAAGGGTGAAGACTGCATTTTAAGACTCTGCTTCAGGCAAGCATGAGTGGAAGCATGAAAAAGAAATCTGGTGGCTTCCAATCCTGGCTGCTGGGTCCCCAATGCACCTACCTGCCAGTCTGCAGGAAGAAGGCAGCTGTAACTTCGGTTTTTAGCAGCGCAGTGTGTGAACACTGGGGTGGGTAGTCTGCCCCAGAGTTGAATGAATGCACTTCAGAAGCTTACTCGGGGAGTGGATTCCACATGCTAAGCCACTTCTAATTTAGGTGAAAATTTACGGTGACTGTAATTGGGCACTGGGTACATGCTATGGTTTGGATGTGTCCCCTAAATTCCATGTGTTGGAAACTTAATCCCCAATGCAACAGTATTGGGAGGTGGAGTCTAGGAAGAGAGTCTGGCCATAAGAATGAATTAACCTCATTATCCCTGTAGTGGGTTAGTGATTGTTAAGGTGGATTGGTTAAAAAAGCAATTTCAAGAGATGTGTGTGGTGGCTTATGTCTGTAATCCTAGCTACTTGGGAGGACTGTGGTTTGGCTGAGATTCCACCTCAGCCAATAGCTGGGCACAAGTGGTGCATACAGAAATAGGAGGTTCATGGGTCCAGGCCTGTCCAGAATAAAGCGAGATCCTATCTCGCTCTTGGTTATTTTGGTTATGCCAAAATAACCAAGGCTGATGGAGAGGCTCAAGTGGAAGAGCATCTGCCTAGCAAGTGGAGAGGTTGAGTTCAAACCCTAGTGCCACCAAAAAAAAAAAAAAAAGAAAGAAAAGAAAAAGGAAAAAAAAGCGAGTTCAACAATACTCTTTTGCTCTCTCACTCTCATCTTTTCTTGCCCTCTCTCTGCCTTCCACCATGGCATGATACAACATGAAAACTTTTGTCAGATACCAATGCAGTGCCCTTGGACTTCCCAGCCTCCAGAACCTGAGCCAAACAAACCTCTATTCTTTGTAAATTACCCAGTCTCAGGCATTCTGTTATAGCAGCAGAAAACAGACTAAGACAGTGCATATGAGACATTGTCTGGCAGAAGAGTAATAAAGAACACATGTAAATTAAGATGTTAATTACCAGCTGTGTGATACTACATTGCACCTATTATTCATAAACATTCATTCTTTTTTAAAAAAATTTAAACTTTTGGGACAGAGTCTCACTATGTAGTCTAGATTGGCCTGGAACTCACTACTGTAGCCCAGGCTGACCTCAAACACATGATCCTCTTGCTTTACCCTCTGGAATTCTGGGATTACAGGTCTGTACCACCACGCCCAGCACTATTTATTCTTTACAGTTTGATGGGAATGACATTGTTTTCAGTGACTGCAAACAAATGGCTAACAATTACTATTATTATTGTGGATGAAGGCAACAAAGATGTGTCACTCATATACAAAACCAAAAAAAAAATCATAAATCAAAGTAGACCCTGTCCAGGGCAGGCATTTCCTGCCAGTTGTATACCATGCTAAACCCCACCCAGGCAATTATGACGTAAATGTACAAATACGTGACAAATCCTGAAACATAGCCTAGCCTCCTGGCATGGCTGACAAATTGTTCCTGTGAATCAGGGTCTGACCTGAAGCCAGATGGATTCTGATTTAGTCACAGTCATGGAAGAAAAAGCCACTATAAACACTACCTAGGAACAGCCAGCTCCAATTTTTTCCTTCTTTTTTGGGTTTGAACTCAGGGCCTGGTGCTTGCTAGCAGGTGCTCTACCACTTGAGCCACACCCCCACCCCTTCAAAGACAGACTTAAATCTTCCTGGTATGATTGAGAAGATAATTTGAAGTTTTCATGTCTTAGGTGAATACTCACAATCCCAGTCTCTGTAATTTACACAACCACGGAAGTAACTCTATCACAAATGGCTGTATAATCGTTTTGGTTTTTTGGGGTTTTTTTCCTTTGATGGGCTTGGGGTTCAAATTCAGAGCAGGCACTTGCAAAGCAGGTTCTCTACTGCTTAAGCCACACCTCCAGTCCATTTTACTCTGGTTATTTTGGAGATGGGGTCTTGAGAACTGTTTGCCCAGACTAGATTCTAACCATGATCCTCCTGATCTCAGCCTCCCAAGTAACTAGGATTACAAGTGTGGGTCACAGGAGCCCAGCTACTTATGCCTTTTTACTAGACTTTTTGTCTGTTTTTTCTGACAGGGTCTTGCTACCATAACCCAGGCTGGCATTGATCTCAAGATCCTCTTGGTTCTGAATCCTGACTGCTGAGATTACAGACATGTACCACCATGCCCAGCTTTAATCAAGATTTCTTATTCTGTGTTTTTTATGCTTTTGACATCTGGGGTCATGCCAATCCTGGAGGGACCATCCCACCCAAGGCTAGTAAATTCTTAAAGATAGTAAAGGACTCACATGTATCTCTCATATGCAAACAAACCAATCCAGAGTCCACACTTCAATCACACTTTTTCTTTTCTCTTTTTGATACAAGGTCTCTTTATGTAATCCAGGCTGGCCTTGAATTCTCAATCTTTCTGCCTCCTGACTAGTGGGATTACAGGTGTGTCCCATCATGCCTGGCCCCAACCACCTTATACTGAAGGCTATGGCCACCTATCATAGCCACCATATCAACTAAGATCAGGAACCAGACAAGAGCCAGCCCCTATGTCCCAGGGCCTACTGAAATGATTCAATCCAGCCAATCCTAAGTCTACTTACCTTGCCTTGCCTGTTTCTTCCTGCAAAAACCACCACATAGTCTCACCCCCGCTAGGTGTGGTGGTATACACCTATGGTCCCAGATACTAAGAGGTAGAGACAGGAGGATTGTAGTTCAGACCAGCCTGGGCAAAGTTAGCATGAGACCCTATTTGAAAAACAAATTAAAACACAGCAAAAGGGTTGGGGATATGGCTCAAGTGGCAGAAACTTTGCCTAGCAACTAGCATGAGGCCCTGAGTTCAGTCCCCAGTACTGTAATAAATAAATTACTTAACAAAGGAAAAAAAAAAAAGGGCTCCTGCCCATCTTTTCCCTTTCTTCCTTCTGCCTCATGACTGACCCTGGTACTTCCCCATGTGGCCCTGCATGGTGTGCTGTGCCTCCTGTTTCTAGGCGACTGTAAGTATAAACATCTTCCTTCCAGACAGCCACTTCCGTGTTCACCCATCTTAACATACCTTGTTAAAACAAATACCAGCTGCCCTTAATATACCAGCTGCCTAGGGGCCTAGAGGTCTGCCTGCCAAGGCAAGAAAAGCCACAAATGTCCCTGGACTGCAGTTTTCCATCTGTCTATGTGGAGGTGACACACCACACACATCTAAGGCTGCTAGAAGGATACAAAATGGTGCTTAGAAAACCCACCCAGTTAAACACTGTTACCCTGCTCCTGCTCTTGGGTTTATGCCCTGAAGAAGTGAAAAAGTATCCACACAAGTATTGGTACACACTGTTCATAGCAGCAAACCCATGATAGCCCAAGTGGAAACAACTCAGATGTCCGTCAACTGACGAATGGACAAACACAACGTGGTCTGGTGCATCTACACAATGAAAATATTATTCAGCCATGAAAGGAATGCAGTAGACAGCCATGCTACAGCATGGATAAACCCTGAAAACACTATGCTCAGTGGAAGAAGTCAGACACAAAAGACTACAGATTTTATGAGTCCATGGATGGGAAATGTCCAGGATAGGTGAGTCCATGACAGGAAGATTAACAGTTGTCTAAGGCTGGTGGAGATTGGAGAGTGATAGTGAGTGGATGTGGGGTTTCCTTTGGGAGTTCTAAATTGGATTATAGTGACTCTGTAAATATATTAAAAACCACTGATTTGCACACTTAAATGGGTGAGTTGTTTGCTAAACACACACACACACACACACACACACACACACACAGAGTGGTACAGAAGCAGCCATTGTTCTGCAGGGGGACAGTCCTGACTTGTAGCTCAGCATACGGTACGAGTT